CTAACCCTAAACCAACCCTAAATACACCCTAAACCAAACCATAAACCAACCCTAAACTAACCCTAAACCAACCCTAAATCAACATAAACCAACCCTAAACCCACCCTAAACTAACCCTAAACTAACCCTAAATACACCCTAAACCAAACCATAAACCAACCCTAAACTAACCCTAAACCAACCCTAAATCAACATAAACCAAACCTAAACCCACCCTAAACTAACCCTAAACCAACCCTAACTACACCCTAAACCAAACCATAAACCAACCCTAAACTAACCCTAAACCAACCCTAAATCAACATAAACCAACCCTAAACCCACCCTAAACTAACCCTAAACCAACCCTAAATCAACATAAACCAACCCTAAACCAACCCTAAACTAACCCTAAACCAACCCTAAAGACACCCTAAACCAAACCATAAACCAACCCTAAACTAACCCTAAACCAACCCTAAATCAACATAAACCAACCCTAAACCCACCCTAAACTAACCCTAAACTAACCCTAAATACACCCTAAACCAAACCATAAACCAACCCTAAACTAACCCTAAACCAACCATTAAACCCACCCTAAACATTTCCCTAAAACCAACCCTAAACTAACCCCTAAACCAACCTAAATCAACAGAAACAAACCCTAAAACCCACCCGAAACAACCCTAAAACAACCCTAATACAACCCTGTTTCAATCAACATAAAACCAACCCTAAACCCACCCGAAACTAACCCGAACCAACCCGAAATTCAACATAAACCAACCCTAAAAACCCACCCTAAACTAACCCTAAAACCAACCCTAAATCAACATAAACCAACCCGAAAACCCCACCCAAACTAACCCTAAACCAACCCGAAATCACATAAACCAACCCCTAAACCCACCCTAAACTAACCCTAAACTAACCCTAAATACACCCTAAACCAAACCATAAACCAACCCTAAACTAACCCTAAACCAACCCTAAATCAACATAAACCAACCCTAAACCCACCCTAAACTAACCCTAAACCAACCCTAAATCAACATAAACCAACCCTAAACCCACCCTAAACTAACCCTAAACCAACCCTAAATACACCCTAAACCAAACCATAAACCAACCCTAAACTAACCCTAAACCAACCCTAAATCAACATAAACCAACCCTAAACCCACCCTAAACTAACCCTAAACCAACCCTAAATCAACATAAACCAACCCTAAACCCACCCTAAACTAACCCTAAACTAACCCTAAATACACCGTAAACCAAACCATAAACCAACCCTAAACTAACCCTAAACCAACCCTAAATCAACATAAACCAACCCTAAACCCACCCTAAACTAACCCTAAACCAACCCTAAATACACCCTAAACCAAACCCTAAACCATAAGCCCTAAACCTAAACCAACCCTCAACCAATCCTATATCAACATAAACCAACTCTAAACAGACCCTAAACTATCCAACAGTACACCCTAAATACACCCTAAACCAATTCTAAACCAACCCTAAATCAACCCTAAACCACCACAACACAACCACAGGACCACAACCACGGGGGGGGGTACTTGTCTGACCCATGACCGTTGGGGGGGGGGGGGGCGGGGTGGGTGGGGGGGGGGCAACGCTGTACCATACATACTTTTACCCGTGAAGCGGGGTGTCAACATCACTGGGTTTGGGATCTCCTCCAACATGTATGATATATTTCAGGTTAGACTAGAGATGGTTTCAAAATCAGAACGCGTCTTTGCAGTACTGGTACCCCAAGTGCTGGCCAACTTCGGCCGAAGCTCGAGTTTCCTTTTGGTGGCTCATTCCCCATCCTAATCTTTACTTTTTGGATGCATCTGGCCCTGGCCAAATCCCATGCCATCCCATCCGTCAATCAACAACTCAAGCGGGGACAGTCCCGACCGAAGGTACAGAGACACCCTTCGAATTACTTTCCACGACCGTCGGTTTTGCCCACTTTGCTTCTCATCTCCCCGGTGGATTCTACCAGGCATCCCTTTGAGTTTGACGGCTTGACCCCTAAAATGATTTTGTGTCGTGGTAATTCTAGGACGAAACCATGAAAAATTGGATATTCCAACCAAACAGCTGCGACTTCCAGAGCTTTGGCCTACTTGGGCGTCTCCAGTCTCCATGGCCTTGATTTTGCTGTAAGTCCGGGTGCATTCGCGACAAAAAACCTTCTCTCGGTCCCAAAACTATTGAATTCCCCTTTCACCCTTTTTTTGGGGGAGGGTTCCCCTACTAAAATAGACTACAGAAAAAATACAAATCGGGTACCCTTATTCTAGCCTCTCTACTGGAGGATCTAGTTGTCCCGAACTATCGCACCACCAAGTGTTAGGCGCAAAGAGGGGGTTTTCCTCTTTGTGGGGGTGTCCAGTCAGTCTGGGAATCCATGGATTTTCCTGCGCCGCTTCACTCAGGCGGGTGTCACCCCTGTGAAGCCCATCGACGGCTTCGGCGCCCGCTGGGACGCGCTGCTCCGCACAGTGCCCTCCTGGCAGGGCGACGCTCGGCGCTCGCCGATGGGTTCGGGAAAAGGGTCCACCATTTGGGGGGCGCATCTTGGGGCTCAGCCTAGTGTTGGGGTCTCTAAGCCAAAAGTTATTTTTCGTTTTTTTGCGGACTAAGCATTTGACACAGAGGAAAACATGTTGGTTGGTGCAGGACACTCTCAGAAGTGCGCCTGGGCCAAGGTGGGATTCGCCGAGGAACTTGGCCAACGTGCGTTGGTTTGTGGTTGGTTGTCTCTTTGTGTTGCTCTTGTTGTTTGGTGTTTCTTCCTGGAGTCTTCACGACCCGAAGCAAAAGTGGGGCATGAATCCTTTTGGGTTTCTTTTTGAATGGCCGTGCAGACTGCAAGCAATTGTGCTGATCTTGTGTGTGTGTTCTTGCGTTTTGGCCCGGAAAGAATCCGGACTGCTTTGCACAATCACCCCGTATATGATGAGTGTGTGCGTGCGCGATTGTTTTGTTTAAGAGCAACTAACCCGGGGTTGGTTGTCAAGGGAAACCAACAGGAAAACCATGTTTGCGGGGGGTCCCTAATTTGAGGCAACTCACGTTGGCATTTAACTTTCAAAGAAAAGATCACTTGCGGATCCGGGATGCATAGATTTCGAAATGGTCCAGGCCCCCATTCACCACTTCGCTGGGTGATAGAAGGCTAGCAGCTGGGCCTTCCCAACCCGAACAAAAACTGTTTTCCGCTCAAACATAGTTCATGGGATTGGAGCACCTTCCTCTCCTTCTGAGGGTCAGTTGTGACTCGATTGGGACAAGACTTCTTTTTTCGTGTGTCTCCATTTGAACATGAGCAGAACTCAGAGTGTTGACCATTCAATCAGGTTTGATCCGCAGGCCCAGGTTCTGCCATTTGACCTACTTGTCTTTGGCGAAAAACAGCTGCTTTGATTTTTTGGATGCAGGGAACGCAGCGGACTTATTTGCACAAAGCTCACACGACCTGCAATGCATTGGTTTCCACTGTGGACCCTGCAAGGATGCAACTGTGCGAACTGTAAAACACCAAGTTATGGCAATACACATGCCAGATAAGGCCGAAGGGCTTTGAAGTTTAATACTCTTCAACATGGCGGACGGACAGAAATGCTCGAGTACTTGACGTCCACCAATATCGGTAGAGTATACCTGTGGAGCCGGCGAAGCCGGTTGGCGCAAGTTTCAATAATTATAAGAACAAATGTAATTTATATGCTTCTCTTGTTCTCTCTTTCTCGCCTCTCTTGCTCGTTCTCTTCATATTGATCTCTATGTTTCTCCTGTTTTCTGTTTATCTTTCTCTTATTTATCTGTCTTTTGCTTTCTTTTGCCTTTTGCGTTCTCTTTTCTTTCCCTTGCTCTTTCTCTGTTTCTTCCTTCTGTGCTTCTCTCTTTCTCTTGCTCTTCTCTTTCTTTACGCTTGCTCATTCTCAATATAGTTTCCATCTAATCTATCTATCTATCTATCTATCTATCTATCTATCTATCTATCTATCTATCTATCTATCTATCTCCATATCCATATCCAGATCCATATCCATATCTCTATGTATCTATGTATCTATCTATCTATCTATCTATCTATCGATCGATCGATCTATCTATCTATCTATCTAATCTAATCTAATCTAATCTAATCTAATCTATCTATCTAATCTAATCTAATCTAATCTAATCTAATCTAATCCAATCCATTCTAATCTAATCTAATCTAATCTAATCTAATCTAATCTAATCTATCTATCTATCTATCTATCTATCTATCTATCTATCTATCTATCTATCTATCTATCTATCTATCTATCTATCTATCTATCTAATCTATCTAATCTATCTAATCTGTCTAATCTGTCTAATCTATCTAATCTATATATCTATCTATCTATCTATCTAATCTAATCTAATCTAATCTAGTCTAATCTAATCTAATCCAATCTATCTATCTATCTTTCTATCTTTCTATCTTTCTATCTTTCTATCTTTCTATCTTTCTATCTTTCTATCTACCTACCTACCTACCTACCCATTTGTCTATCTATTTGTGTATCGGGTGTCTTCCCTTTCATTTGCAGAGAAAGCAGATGGACACCAAAGTTCTCAACATCTCCAACCTGTCACGACGTTTGCTTCGCCGTTTGGTCATGGCCGTCCGCCAACGCGAGTTGCCAAGTGGCTTTTTTTGCTTTTCAGGCCGCCATGGACGCCCTGGTTGGCTTCGAATCAAGCTGGACCCTGGTGGAATGTACAGAACCCTCCAAGGGAGGTTCTTGTTGTTTCCTGATTTCTGAAGGAGGGATTGAATCAGTCAGAAAGAAAAAACCCGGCCGCGGGATGTTTTTGTTGCTTGAATACCGAGGCAGGGAATCAGCCAGCAGGGTTTCAAACCCTCCACGGACCTTTGAGTCAAATCTAGGTCTCCCCTCTTGGGAGTGTTATTCCCCTCTCTTGATGTCCGAAGGAGGGAATCAGTCACATCCATTTGCTTAAGAATATTTCTGATTTTCCCTTGCTGGTTCTAAAGGGAATCTATCACTACTGGACATATCATTGTTTTTTCCAGGGGGCTCAAGCAAATGGAAGGTCACAAAACAAACTCTGCGCCATGGACTCTCCCCAGAGTCTCCCCTCCAGTGCCCTCGAGTGAGGAACGGCGGCTGCTGGTGGTCGGCGGCGGCGCGGGAGGCTTCGAGCTGGCCATGAGCATCAAAGCCCGGCTCACCAAGGAGCCGAAAGAGAAGATCCATACGGCGGTGGCTCAAATGAAATCCCCAAAATGGCACCTTGGAAATGTGTGTGCGTGTGTGTCGTTGTTTGTGGTTTTTGTTGTTTGTTTGTTTGTTTGTTTGTTTGTTTGTTTGGAAACAGGTTTGCCCTAGCTCTTTCATTTTGAGCCGTACCCGTACCGAGAGAAAGACCTGAAAGTTAAGTTCTTCCAGTTCCTGAGATGAAGATGTTGGTTGAATATGTCCCTTGTTGGTGGAAATCATAGGGAATCTGCTGAAATGAAGATGTTTGTCGTGTTTTTCCCCAGTTGGTTGTAAAGGAAATCGATTTCACCACTGGATATGGTTTTATGCTTTTCAGGGGGCTTAAGCAAATGGAAGAAAGTGTGGTCAAAGCAGACCTTCAAATCTGTGGTTTGTCCTCTTTTTGTTTGTCCTTTTTTTAAATCAAACAACTCCCAGAATCCAATGCTGGTTGGTGGGTCTAAAAGCAAAATAACAAAACAAAAGGACAACCGCGCGATGCTTGAGGAGTCAAGCCAATTGGAGACGCACACTTACTTACACTCCCTCAGACTAACATGGAAGTTTTCAGAAGGCCTCTGTAAACGGAGCCAAGTCTTCCAAAGGGGTCCTGGGAGCTTCCATGTTAGTCTGGGGAGGGTAGACGTACCAGGGCCTCAGGCTCAGGGGTGTCCCTTTGCGGGCAAGGACATTGTGGAGAACTGGGTAGCGCCCGCCTGTGAAAGGCGTGGCTTTAGGTTGCGCAAGGGAGGCCATGGGAAAGTGACACGTTGGACACTGCTATTCGGTTGGAACTTCTTTGCCTTTTCAATTTTTGGTGGGCAATATTTGTAGCAATCTGTGCCAAAACAATGGGTCAGGCTGGGATCGACTTGGTGGCATGCCCAAATGACGTGCCTTGGCACACGAAGTTCAGCGGGGAACCCGTAAAACGGTTTGGGGTTGCATCAATTCCCATGTACGTTTGTGTTCACCAAGAATCTCATTCCATTCCCGCTCAGGAAGCACTACAAAAGGACACCAGGGTTTCAAACGGCCACAAACACAACTTGAGCAGCACTCCAACCCCGCAAAGCCAGTGCCTATACTGGGGGTCTCATCCAAAACTATGTTGTATTGTAGGGTAGAAATGTGAAACAGAATCAGAAATCATGGAGTGCCCCTGTTTGCCGGCCAGGGCTCCTTAAAAGATCTCCATTTTGCCATTTGAAACATGTTGCTTTTTTCCACCAAATAAGGGGAAACAACCATTTACGAGGCAATGTTCAGGTGTATAATCTAAGGATCCCTGTATATCAACATATCAACCTGTGTAACAAGTCAGCAGCTTTGGCACTCGCCTGTGTCAGGAGCTGGCGGCGCTTGAGAGCAGTGCAGTGGTCCACGTGGCATGGCGAAACTTAGCTTACCTTTTGCTCGTTCTCCGCTGTTCTCCTGTTTGCGTTTGCGTTTTCTTGGTTTTGGGATGGGTTCCGAGGATTCAGGTGATTGCTGTTGGGGATACCTGGGCTTGTGTTTGTTCTTTCTTGTTGTTCAAGCAGCTAAACAGAAGATGCTTGTTAGACCCCCAATTTTTGCAAGTTTTGCAGACTTTGCTCATTCAGTTGTTCAACCAGCTAAACAGACAAACAGAAGAGTGTTGTTTGCAGAGACTCTGTTCATTCTTGCTTCTCCACCAGCTAAACAGAAAAAGTTTGTTGCAGAGACTTTGTTCATTGTTGTTTTTGCCAGCCGGCTGACCCCCGCCGCCCAAACCCTATTTTTGGCTACTTTTTCATTGTCGTGTTCCCCTTCTTGATGTGGACTCTCAAAAAGCCTGCGATTTTTTAAGCTTTTCCTTCCGCACCAGCGTTCATTCCATGCTTTTGCGTGCAAACTCCCGTTTCTTTTTGGCCATTCATGAGCCTGAAACGCAAGTTTCGGTCCTTTTTTCCGCGTATTTCGTGCAGCTATTTGTGGCATATTATACCATTTTTTTCTCCGCGTCGCAATGGCCGTCCACGCGATGCATGGCTGCCTGTGTCGTACATGCTGGCACATATGTTAACGTGCCCGTCCACACACTCCATGTTTACTTGCATACATGCTGGCACATATGTTAACGTGCCCGTCCACGCACTGCTGGCTTACACGCGCACATGCTGGCACATAGGTCAACGTGCCCGTGCACGCGCTGCATGGGTACTTGCGCACATGCTGGCTAATATGTTAATGTGCCCGTCCACGCGCTGCAGGCTTACATACGCACATGCTGGCACATATGTTAACGTTGTACATACATGAGCTCACGGCGGACTTCTCACGCCCGACTTGTCTCGTGGCGGGGTCTCAGTGACAGGTTTTCTCGCAGCATGTTGCGTTGATGGCTTGCTCTGCATACTTGTATATCAGTTACGCGTGTCGCTTGCTCACTGGCGCATGCTCGTGACTTAGAAACGGAGGTTTCTTTCACACGCTCACTGATTTACGTTGGCCCCGGTTTGAGTTTCGGCATGCACTTTTTCCCAGAAGCCCCCAAAATAAGACAAATCAGAATATACTGTAAAACGCAGGGAATGCTCAACATGTCAATTGCATATTCGCAAGGGCGGCAAGACAGCCGGCTACCTTGTTTTTCAAGCAGCTAAACAGCCAAACTGAAGCTGAAGAGTATGTTTGCAGACACGTTGTTCATTCTTGATTTCACCCAGCAAAAAAGTTTTTGGTTGCAGTCTTTATGTTGCTCTTCAACCAGCCAAGCAGACGATCTTTTTGTTGCAGAGACCTTGGGTAGCTTAGGTGGCGCTGGTCAGCCGCGCCACGCTGCTGCCTCAGCACACCTCGGGTGCCCGCGCCTTGGCGCGGCAGGCGCTGAAGCAGAAAGGCGCCGGGGAGATGCGGGGCGACGTGGCTTGGACGTCGTGTTTTTTTTTTTTTTTTTTTTTTTTTTTTTTACAACATATTGTTTTTTCATTTTTGTTCAGAAAGAATAGGTCTAGGTCCAGCTGGGTGCCCTGTTACCATGTCTTTTTTGGGGGTTCCCTTTACCAACTTTTTTGGGGGAGGGCAGAAAAAAGGGTACCCTTATTCTAACCTCTCGACTGAAGGACCTAGAACCTGTGTGGATGGGGCATAACCTATGGCTCCATTTTGGGGTGGAACATTCCCGAAGAAACATGTGTGGATGCACAGCCTTCTTTGTAACTAGGTCCCCCAGCTAGGTGCCCTTTTACCGCTTCTTTTTCGGGGGAGGGTTCCTCTGCTAACATAGACTACAGAAAAAGGGCACCCTTCTTCTAACCATTGGAGGACCCATAACATGTGTGGATGGATGGGGCATAACCTATGGCTCCATTTTGGGGTGGAACATCCATTTGCCACCTATTTTGATGTTGACCAAAAATACAGGGTTTTGACCCACAGCCATGTGTGGATGTACAGTATTCTGTGTAATATCCGCAGTTATCAGTGGGACTTTCTGCCCTCTATCTACCCTTCTGCCTATTTAGCAAGCTAGCCAGTTCCTCTCGTTTTCCCGAATGCGTCGCAGAAGGGTTTCGGTTAAAGACAGGGGGGTCTGGGGGCCAGCATGTGTTAGCCAGATACGTCGCAAGCGTTCGCAGGTGGCAAACCCTTGGATTCCGTGGGGGCATTTTTTTTCGCGCAATCTACATGGACCAGAATCTTCGAGCCTTGCGAGCTTCATAATGTGGGGGTGGTGTTTTTTTTTTGTTTTTTTGTTCCAACCTGGTTTCCTTTGTGCGGCGCTTTAGAATGGCTAGCATAAGTCCGGCTCGTGAATTACAGATTCCTATAGGATCATGGCATCATGTTCCAATAGAGTGCCCCACGTAAGCATTTCAACAGTACCTAGGCCCTTACCCTAGGCTTCCAAAGGCCATTAAAAGAATGGTCGAGGTCGCTAGACTGTTTTTTGCCGAAAGACAGTTTTTGCGCCTGGCCCTGAATATCCAAAAAATCATGCTTTTTGTTGCCCAAGAATTGCTTAGGGTCAGGTCACTGAAAGTCACACCGCCCTCATCCTCCCAGCTGCAAATGACTGCACCCAAGCCACTCATTCCCCGGCTTGCCAAATGTATGGTCGCATCACTTTTCAAAATCGCCAGGTGTCCCGCCTACTGTAGAGGCGTGCATAGATTCTTCGCATGTTGGTACTGAAGCCCGGCTTTTTTTGAAAAATGCTGCAAACTTAGTGGCTTCAGGGCATCGCTGCGGATCAGGCATGCGTTGTGGGCTCCTGGGGGTATGGTTGTCCACGCTTTTAACCGTACTTTCCACGCTTTTAAATGTACTTTCCACGCTAAAAAACGTACTTTCCACGGTTTGTCCATGGTTCGTCCACGCCTCATTTTCTTTCGAAATCGATTAAACAATCAACAAACAACACGCAATCAGACTCTGTGGAGCTGTGGACAAGAAGTGGAAAAGCACGCACAGGCATGTGAGGGACAAGCCAAATTGACACAGCATGGTGGCGGCGTGTGATTACAACGGGATGAAGCGACTGTAAAACATACTTAGCTTATTTCATAAAAGGCAGCAATAAAGCTCTTCAACCTCTCACTGCACAGAAGCGCGCGGGGATGTCATGAGCCAGCGGTCTCGAGTTGGCCAAGTTTGTCTAGACCTAGTTTTAATGGTCGAGGGACATTACTTTTATAGCCTTTCGTTTTTTAAATGGTCGAGGCTATTTAAAGAATAGTCGAGGAAGCACAGGGCTTATGGTGTCTTTTTCCAGGCTACCACCATGTTTGGTGGTTTTAACGGAACACCAAAAGAGAAACCCGAAGCCATTTACGGGGTCCCTCGGAAAAACTCCAACACTCACATGACTCATGACCCATCAACACCCCAAACCGGGCGAAATCGATCCACAGGCATCGAGCTGATCAGCGGCTGCGATGTGTCCCACGCGGAGAACGGGCGACTCTACTGCGCCTTCGCGTAGAGCATGGGGGGGGAGGTGGGTGTGGGAACTAGATCCAGTTCAGGAAAAGGTCTCTCTCACTCCGGGACTTGAATTTGGGGCTCCTATGTTCAATCTACGTAACTAGGTTAACTTCCTGAGTTTCATGGACTTGAGCCACGTATTGATCCTTTTCAGGAGAAGGTCTCTCTGACTCCCTGCCCTGGGGTTCAAACCACCATTAAAACAATGGGCGTTCATATAACCTGAGCCTCGTGGAACACAATGGGTTTCTCTCACTCCCTGAGTTCCATGGAATTGTTCTCGTTCAAAATCGACGCTTAATCCTTATGCCGGATGGCGGTGCCCTACTACGGTTGCATCTCAGGTTTTCCGGGTCGAAGCCTTCCATCTCGGAGTTGGAGCCAATGGAAAGCCTGAAAGGGGACTGCGACCGATTTCACCCATGTTTTGGTTTTCATAGGGATCCCTTGACAGATGACTGATGATTCTCCCAAACTCTCGCTAGTGAGTGGTTTAAGGGGAACCAAAAGGGCGTACTTTCCATTTGCAAAGAATCCCCTATTTTGGAAGCAGCAAGCTTGTTCATGTGTTTGTGTGCGGGTGTTCCTTGATTAACCCCACCAAATCTCAGATGAATGGACCACATGCTTGTTTCGGGCGATGCGTGATTCCTTGGTGGTTTGGATTGGTGGTTTGGGGACTTGAACCCCTGGCTTTTGTGGAGGGTAAATGTGAAATTATCCCAAGCCTCCAAACCACCAATTCGTCTGAAAATTATGATGGAACCCAGAAGGGCTTCGCATTTTGTTTTGGTTCTTCCATCGCTATTCGGTGTCCAGGCGAATACACCCGCTTGGCGTGTTGATGGGGTTGTCTCCAACATGAGGGGACCCAAAATGGTGCGTTCCATTGGTTTCAACCAAAAAGGATTTCTCCCCAAATCCTCAGTTGCCAAACTTTTGACTGCTCGCTGCCAGGACTCTTCATCACTGTTGTCCAGCGTCCAAGATAAAGCAAATCCAGATTTGAGTAACGGTGAGTATTGCCGTTATCCACTCTTCAGTCGCAGGGATGACATAGGTTCTCACCAAATTGCCACGAGGAAATGGGGTTTGGGTGAAAAATCGATGTGGGATTCCGGGGCCAAATTCCTATGTCGGTCTTCCGAGGCCACGACGGTCGCTCCCTGCACTACGACGACTGCATTTGGTGCACTCAGGGCTCGCCGCAGCAATGGGTCGGAACCTGCGGCTTGAGCCTCGGCGTTGGTTTGTTGTCGCCTGTCAGGTAACCCTTGACTTGTGGCCTGGATTTCTGGAAACCGAAAGGAAAACCCCCGGGTCCCCTAAGAATAACAACAACCCCATGCTTGAAACTTTCCGGTTCCCCTTGACTGGTGGCTTGGATTTGTGGCTTGGATTTGTGGTTGGACCGCTGGTTCTTTGTAGAGGGTAAATGGTAAATCATCCTCTGAACTTCAGGCAACTCCTAGTCGGTGCTTTGAATTGGTGGCTTGGGGAGTTGAACATTTGGTTCTTGCAGAGGGTAAATGGGACACCCCTCCTTCACCACCAAACCACCAATCCAATCCATGGCGTGGATGTGTTGGTGTGGAGTTGAGCTGAACCGCTGGTTTTTGCAGGGTAGCTGGGAAATCATCCCCTCAACCAACCACCGGGCTCCAAAAACATGTGATACGCTGAGTCCGCTGGGCCATATTCCGTGGGGGCCATGTGCTTTCCAGAAGGTCACCTATGTGCCGATTCCTTGGTTGTTGTTGGGAAACATTTTACATTTTTGCTTGTTGTGGTTTAGTGGGAAATCCCCACTTAACGGCTAACATGTAAATGTTTGCTCCCCTTCCAACGTCAACCAAGATTCTGTGCCTTCACCTACGACCCGCAAAAAGAATCTTCACTCTTTGCACGTCGGATCCGTGCCCTGAGTTGGTCTTTGGACATGCGTGCTGCAAGAAACATCTCGGTGTTGGTCACTTTTCAATGGACACATGAGTGAGGATTGTCTTTGTCGTCTTTTGTTCGTGGCGATTTGGTAGTGGATCTTTGGACTGAACAACTTTGGGTTGACACTTTGTGGATTTGCCGCTTTTTGGACCCGGCTTGCAAATGGCAACACGCCAAGGGCTTCCCTTTCCAAGTGCCCCAGGCGTTTCGCCACGCAGGGAAACACCCATGTGCTGAGACCTACTTTAGGCCACCCGGCTCAGCCGGGTTTTTCCCTGGTTACCTGTTCACCTCTAGGTCCTTGCTGGTGTTCCCTGGTTAGCGGCTTGCCTGGAAGCACCTGGCTTTTTTCTTTCCGGCATCGCGACCGTGAGACCATGAGACATCTCTAGTCCGCAGACTTGCCTCAAAAGGGTGAGGTGCTGCGTGGACCGGTTATTTCTGGAAGATGGTTTGGATGCGGTCTTTGTGGAGCAACCCCTGCAGAATATACAAGTACTCAAAGATTACTAAAAAAGGACCAAAAGGGGGAAGAACTGTTCAAGTCCACAAAAAGCGCATCCAAACTGCTTTTCCAGAGACATATGACACGTGTAACATCAGATGGATGACCTTCGATAAGGGCTGAGGTCATTCCAAGGCGAATTTGCCAGCTCGGCTGCGGAATGCTGGAAATTTAAACTTTTTCTTAGAAGTCACGGTTTTGAACGGAACCTGAATCAAAGCTGAACAGGAAACAAAGCGTTTGCCCGCGCGCTGTGAGCTTGTCTGATTCCCATGTGCCATGTTCGGGGTTCATGGGTTTTGTGCCCATTGGGGTGTGTTTGTTTGTGCGTCCCCCATGTTCTTGTGGCTTAAACAAAGCCATTTTTTTTTGCCGGGGGGGGCTCTCACTAGCCCAAAGCGAATCAACCTTTTGACCCTTTGTTGTTCCCCTTCTTGGTCTTTTGTTTGTCACGCCAGAAGTTTTCTGCACCTTCCGTTTCTGGTCCTTGCAAGTGAGACACACCATAAGCGCCACCCCCCACCTGTCCGGGCCCACAGGTCCACCTTTTGACCACCCCAAGATAGACTTAGACAGACTTCAACCCAGGGGTACAGACCCCCTGGGTTTATGTGGGGAAGTCAATCAGTGGATCCCTTTTTGGGGCGGTTTTGAGGCCCCAGCCCCCGATTTGGGAGTTGGGGCCGGGCTGCTCGCCACCCGCTCGGCCATTCGCGAGCAATTCGAGGCGCGTGGACCGGGAGGGGTTCTTGCTGGTGGACCAGCAGCTTCGCTGCTCCGGGAACGGCCAGGACGTCCTTCCAAACCCCGGGGCCCGGGGGACTCGGGGATCGGGACTCGAAAGGACGCGCCGGGATCAGAGGATGACATGGATGTTCACAGCGAGCTTACCTCTTAAGAACACGACGTTTCAACTTGTTGGGTAACATGGGCTATATGTGTGTAAAAGATTAACTTCCCCAGGGCTTGGAGTTTTAAGGGGTAAGAGAGGGAGGATCAAAGTCAGCAACAGTGAAAATCATGATATCATGTTTTGTCGCTGTTGCTGGGGTTAAAGGGAGTCAGTTGTTGTTTTCCCCTTTGACCGACCGCTTAAAAGGTGACCAAATGGTCATGGTAAAATAAGGAGGCCAGTCAGAGTCAAGTTGCCTCGGTTTTGCGGTTGATGCTGACCTTGGGTCAATGTTCTGTCTCAACCCATGCCTTGCATGGTCAGTGACATATTCTCACTGTTGGCGGTCTACTCTTGCTTTGGGGCCATGGGACGGGGCCCGAATAGTTTCAGCCACAAAAGCCCGATTTGGGCAGACAACGAGGGGCGGCCAAAACAGGGCTGGTTCGGCTGAAGATCTGCGAATCTCTTGCTTTGGGGAGCACTGAGTATCCCGCCCGTAGCTGAACCAACATCCCATGGCCGCAGTCCAGCCAGCTGCTTTCAAGCCACCTTTTGCCCACTTCGCGAGTTCCGGAACTCGGACTTTGAACTTGTTGGAAAGACCATTTTAGTGGAGAATAAACGGTTTGGACTTTGTTTGGCCAACTCAGGAAGCGAGTTTGAGCTAAGTTAGTTGCGGCTTTGGCGTTTTTTCCGGGACCATTGGGTCAACTGTCCCCCGCCCGACCATTTAGTCAACTGGGTCGAATCTCCCCCCCCCCCCGTGAACACGCCAGCTCCTGTCGCCTGATCCGTGCCTACCCGCCGTGGGTCGCGGGTCAGGACGTTGGCCCGGTCTTCGCCGGGGGTGATATCGCCACGGTGCTCGACCACCCGCGCCCAAAGGCGCGCTCTAAAAAGCGCCTTTTGAGCGACATCCAAACTCGGGGATTTGGAAGTTGGATCGCTATGTTCTCCCTTCCCCAGAATTAGCTCCCCTTTTTTGTGCTTGGTTTTTTGGGGTCCCTTGATTTTTCACTAACCAGGCAAACACATAATAATATTTGTTGGCTGGGGTCCCAATTCCAGCCTAGCTCCGTGCACATGTTGGTTTCGCAGCTGGCAGCCTGACACACTTTGTGAAGAATGTCTATGCACACACGAAAGCCGCCATGTTTGGTGGCTGCGAAGTCCCTTTTTGGTGGGTGTAAACATCATCGCCCAATGTTGAAGGAGTATCGCCTTGGTGGAGCAATGTTGAAGGGGCACATGTGAGGTTTGGTCAACGTGTGCAGTAGTCTAATTCAGTTTAGAAGGGACATTTGGTGACTCGCGCATTTTCCCGTGTCCAGGACGGGGGTCTCCTCCAGACTGAGTTTATATGGAGCAGACGAAATATGAAGAATTTGGAGCTATGTGTTTTGTCGTACCCCTCCTCCCCGCGTACGGTGGACACTGTTTGGGGTATTGGTTTTCGAGGTGTGGGCTTGAACAACCTGACCCTAACCGACCAGGTGGGCGAAATAGATCCTAAGTGTCCATCTCCAAGAGCTGTTAACTCTTTTTCAGGCTGGGGAGGCACTTACCACCCGGCCCCTGGCCCCCTCCAAAGCCCACTCCGTCGGAGGCCGGGGTCTTCGCCGTGATGGCCGGCATGGTGCTGTGGATCAACTTGCGCGCCACACTCCGGAGCGAGAAGCTGGTCACGCAGCTTTGGTTGCAAATGGCCGTGTTGGTAGGTGAATTCACCACCCATTTTAGAACCTATTTTAGTCGTTGGATTGGGATGTTCACTGGGGGTACGGGATTTTGACCCATGGCCAAATGGGCGTGGGTCCTTCTTTTATTTGGACACCCTAAACTGGCGCAACGGCTTTCCTTTCAAAAGAGCAAATGGGCTCCTTTTTTTTGTTGGGTGTCTGTTGCTGGAATGTGTTTGAAGGGCAACCAGAGTATCCACCCAGCCTAACCATCCAAGCCACGAAGAGGGAAGCTGTTCAATACAACTCAGGTTTCCTCAGAAAATCTGTGTTAATTTGAAGGACATAGTATTCTGTTTAGGTGGTTTAGAGCCTGCATACCTCCACACCCTGTCCTGGTCCAAGGATATGGTGACCTACTGTGGATGGCCAAAATCCATTTCACACCACTTTGAAACCATTTTGAAATCATGGTTCATTCCAGGGTTTCTTAGCTGCAATTTCTGGATTTCGATTTCAACCATTTGTGGTAGGTGTGCCTTTTTCATGGGTCGGACCCGGGTTTACCTTTTAACCCGCTCTTATACTCTGGATGGACCAAATCCATGTCGCACCCTTTCAGAAACCCAGCGGAATGATGCGATGATCCTGCACCAAGAACTCCTCGCATGATTCGATTCCCCAACGGAATTGCCAACAAACATTATGGTTTTTCCATGGTTTCATTTCGTTTTGCGATTTCTGGATTTCGATTTCAACCGTCCACAGTAATTTGGTCACTTGGTCTTCTTCCCTCGTGGCTCTCACCTCCTTGTGCTTCCTCCTGCAGCTTTTGGCAACTTAAGCCACGGCAAGAAATCCACTTGAACTTGGGGGCCCTGTTTTTGTTCTCATGGATGCCACGGGACAAAGGGAAGCCTCCAAATGGATCGATTCCCTTTCAAACCAAGCGGGGAAAAAAGACACATACTCAGCAAATGAGTGCAGGATGGTGGTTCCCCATGGTTTCATTCCGTGGCGCGATATGGGCATGGGTCAACATCCAAATCGTGCCCACAGTGAACATCCCAATCCAACCACCAAAAGAGGTTCTAAAATGGGTGGTGAATTCACCTGCTAACCAAAATGGGATCCCAAAACGGTTTTGACAACCACAGCCATTTACACTCAGCAAATGAGTGCAGGATGGTGGTTTCCCATGGTTTCATTCCGTGGCGCAATTTCTGGATTTCGCAAACCATCCACAAAGTGACCGCTTAGCTTTCGCTTAGCTTCCGAGTGGCCGGAGGTATTGGCCGCAGCAGTCCTTCCTGGGGCTTTTGAACCTCGGGGATGGCAGCTGCATCGCCTCGCGCGGCTCTTTGGGTGCGCCTTGAATGACGCCTTGGATCGGTGCCAACTTCTTGGGGAAGCGCGGGTGTTCTTCCGTTTCCTGGGTGGGGTGGGGAGTTAGCGGCTTGGGGGCGGCGGGGTTGGGAAACGATCATGCATTATTTCCCCTTGTTAATTTGAAAGGAAAACGATTTCACTACTGGAAACATTTGCTTGTATTTTTCCAGGCAAATGGAAGAGGTTGTTTCGTGTTTTTTGTTGCTGTGGCCTGTCCTTGCTTTGGTGGTAAGGGGAAACAAGTTGAAACCCCTGCGTGATCCTGCACGGCAAAGGCCTAGCTGAGTTAAGTTCGGAAAGATTCAATCAAAGGGAAGTTGGGAGCCTTAAAAGATTTGCTGGTTCTCAGCACGAAATAAGAAATGGAATAACCCCAATAAAACCCATCCCCTATAGTTTCCTTTGAGGGAATCCCTGTGTTCATTCCCAAAACCAGGACTCGATCATTCCCTGCTGAGCACCTGCAAGCAGATCGTAACGTCTGAGGCTGGCAACTGGCACTTTCGGAGCTTGCGGTTTCCTTTTCTATTTATCCATGGTTGAACCTGACTCCTGGGTGCTTTTTCTCGGGGTTCCAGACTTCCAGCTTCAAAACCCATCTCTCCGCGTAGCTAGTCACTGGGCTTCCCACTTTGAGGGGTCCGAGAGCACAAGTTGCCCGTCAGACGGTCCAAACCAGCCGGGTTCCGGAGGGCAAAGCTTACACTGATTGCTATAGATGCTCATACCTGAAATCTGTTGATTTCTTTCCGAGCTACATCTCCATGGCAGCCAGCTTCTCGGAAAGCCCGAGTTTCCAGTTTGGGGATTCCGCGCCGGCCATTTGCACTTCCAGTACGTTTCTGGTGAATCGAAAAGCAGAGGCGCACAAAATCCGCGGAAAATCCGCACAAAATCCGCACAACATCCGCACAAAATCCGCATTTTCTCGCACCAAATTCCGCGGGAAAAACCGCAGCCCCGGCTGCAGCGGAGGTGCCCGCGCCCCGCTGGCTCCACTCGCGCGCGTCGCGTCGCTCGCGCGCGTCCGAGGCGCAAGGCGAGTGGCTCTGGGGCCTCAAGGATTGGATCGACCGGCGCTGGATGTGGAACTACTGCCAAGGCGGTGCGCGGTCCGCGGGTCGGGTCCTTTTTTTTTTGTTCGTTTTTGTTCTCTTTTTTGTTGTCGTTGTTTTTTTGTTTTTGTTTTTTGTTTTTTTTTTTTTTTTAATTTATTTATTTTGTGGTTCTTTTTTTGTTTTTCTTCGGAGGGGAAGTTGCTTTATATGTTTATTTATATGTGTCTTTCTTTTTTTTAGGGGGGGGGGGGAGTTTCAAGGGAATCCAAAAGGGCAATCGTCATGTTGGGGTGTCCCCCTAATTTTGACTTGACCTTGCATGACGGGTGGGTCGGTTGTCGGATCTCGGCTCCCGCCTTTGGTTTTGCACAAGAAGAGAAGAGTAGGAAACCAAAGGGGGCGGGAAAAGGGGGGTGGCGGGAAAAGTTGCACAAAAACAATTTTCAACATGATGTTTTTGTTTTCACATGTTTTTTTTCAATGTTCAGCGGGGGGTGGGTGGTTGCCCTGTGTTGCCCTGCGTGTTCTTTGATACGCTCGACCCCTCGCGGGTGAAGACAAACCCAGGAAGCACTCTGGGCCTTTCTGAGGGAGCCGGTTCTGTTTGGAAGCGACTCCACCGTTCAATAGGCGGTTGCCTTCTCAAAAGGGGTGTCATTTTGGCGGGCCCCCCCAAAGAAGTTGGTGGTGTTCTTGTGTTTTCCCATTAAACCACCAAAACAGGGGTACCCCTAAAAGACGCACCCCAAAGGAAACTATCCATTGAAAGGCGGGGGTTATAGATTTTATCGCATTTCACAAGTTCCCCTCCAACAAAATGCCCATGTTCAACCAGGATTTGGATTCCAATAATCAGAGAATGTGGCTGGCAGGTAGGCCGAGAGAAAAAGGGTTTTGTACTGTCAACGGCATCAGCAACCGTGGGGTCAACATCACTTTCTTCCGGACGGTGGCCTTGAGACGGTATCTGGGCACATGACACAGGTCACGGATGGGTCTGAAAACAATTGCTGCATGCATTTCAGATACCATATCCTGGATGTCTGAGGATTTTCGACAATGAAGTATCTTCTGTGCTTCAACTGATAACGCGCAATGGATGCCACAAATTCAACCATGGGAAGGTAGCGTCTCCGCTTTTCCCCCCACCTTTTGCTGTCTTTGGTGCATTTTGCTTGGAGGTTGGGACTTTAACTTTTTTTGCCAACTAATGGGTTTTCAATTAAACCACTAAAAGTTAAACTCAATGAATGAAGCAAAGCAAGAAACACACCAGGGGCTATCAGACTCAGACACTGGGGTTTTCCTGTAAACCTTCAACAGGTGTATTTTTTGGAAATCAAGTTGAGCTGTTTGCATGGGGTATGTAGGATACTAAGAAACACATGGTCAAAGGGTGTTGGGCACTGCTGATTTGGGTTATTTGCCCATGCAGAGAAAACTGGGTTCAGCCTCAATCCCAAGGATACTTGTGCCAGATAGAAGGCGTGCTTTCCCTTGTTGAAACGCATTGGTCTGTCTTTTTATGTGAGACCCAACCCATTTGATTAGTTGGGAAGTTTCATTCAGTTCGGGGGGTTACCTAGTGGATTTGCCCAATCCCATGTAAAGTACCTCGTGATCACCCCCATGGGCGGGTGTGGGTCAAAAATAGGTACCCCAAATGGAGCCCTGGTAAATGGAAGCAAGAACTAAAATTGACTAAAACCTGCGTGTTTTTTTTGGGGGTGGTTTAACTTTAGAGCCTCCGGCTCAGTCCGCCGACATTGTCCTCTCCCTTTTCTCCTGCTTCCTCTCTCCCTTGTCTCCCTGGTGTGTTCTGTCGTCCTCTCTCCCTCCCTCCGCTCCCCATCCTCCCCATCCCCCCAAGCCACTCTCTCCCCAATCTCCCTCTCTCGTATGTATGTATGTATGTGTGTATGTATGTATGCATGTATGTATGTATGTATGTAATGTATGTATGTAATGTAATGTAATGTAATGTATGTAATGTATGTGTGTATGTATGTATGTATGTATGTACGTACGTACGTACGTACGTACGTATGTATGTATGTATGTATGTATGTATGTATGTAATGTATGTATGTATGTATGTATGTATGTATGTATGTATGTAATGTATGTATGTATGTATGTATATATGTATGTATGTATGTATGCATGCATGTATGTATGCATGTATGTAAGGTAGGTAGGTAGGTAGGTATGTATGTATGCATGCATGCATGTATGTATGTATGTATTGCATGTATGCATGTGTGTAATGTAATGTAATCTAATGTAATGTATGTATGTAATGTATGTATGTAATGTAATGTAATGTAATGTATGTATGTATGCATGTAAGTATGTATGTATGTATGTATGTATGTAATGTATGTATGTATGCATGCATGTATGTATGTAATGTAATGTAATGTAATGTAATGGAATGGAATGTAATGTAATGTAATGTAATGTAATGTATGTATGTATGTATGTATGGTAGGTAGGTAGGTAGGTATGTATGCATGCCTGCATGTATGTATGTATGTATGTATGTATGTATATAATGCATGTATGCATGTATGCAATGTAATGTAATGTAATGTAATGTATGTAATGTATGTAATGTATGTAATGTATGTAATGTATGTATGTAATGTAATGTAATGTAATGTAAAGTAATGTAATGTAATGTAAAGTAATGTAATGTAATGTATGTATGTATGTATGTTTGTATGGCTGTCTGTCTGTATGTATGTATGTATCCTTACGCTTCCCCTTTGCTCCCCAGTATTTCCCGCAAAAAACACTGTTTTTCCAGCGTTTTCGCAAAGATGATGTCAAAAAACACAGAGTTTTTCCAGATTTTCGGCAAAAGGATGCAGGAAGCCCAAGCCAGCAAAAAAAGCCGGCAGGGGGAATCGAGCCTGGGACCCCTGTTTTGTCCCCGAAGACTACGTTTAGTGGAACGTCATCAAATTGCCGCGCGGTCCTTGGGGGGGGGCCCCCCCACGTATCAGACGTCGGGTGGGGGGGGGGTTAGGGGGGGGGGTTATCCTCTATCCTCTCTTAGGTGTCCGACACGCCGAGCAATGTCGGCGGATTTTGACCCATACCCGCATCTTCCAATTTCGATTCCTCATTTGTGCGCTTCGCGCGGCAGGTCTGCCGGAGATGCCCACGGCAGAGCCGCCTGCGTCGGCGGCCTTGGGCTCGGGCCGGCGCAGTGGGGAGCTGCTGTCGCTGCTGCGGACGGGGCTACTGATGGAAGCGGATTTCTTGGGTTCGGGCGGAATCTGCAGACAAAGACCTAGTTGGTTGGTGTGGATTGGTTTTGTTAGCGTGTTGCTTTTGGTTGTAATCTAAAGCCGCGACCCAGGAAGGGTTGATAGAACCTTAGAAGGGGTTAGTAGAAGGGTTCTGAGAACCATTCCGGTCGGTAGGGAGGCGTCAATAGGTTGGCGATTCAGTTTTTGGAGAATGATGCTTCCATTTAACCCCTTTGTTCTGGTGAAAAGCTGATTGATGTCAACCAGTCTGTCAGTTTGTTTCGACAATGGATGAACCGGGCGGAACCAGCTTTTGGAGGTTTCCCTTCAGAGCGAAGGCCCCACGAAGAGTTGGACCCCTTTTGAATCAACCTTGAAGCTGTAGTGTTTATCCAATCGCTAGTCGAAGTGAAAGCATCTTGTCGCTTCGCAACCCTGCCTTGGGCCGTGGTGAAATGCTGGTGTGGCCGAAAAGCAACGCAAAATCGTGATGAAAGTTGTGTTTACCCTGGTATCCCTTATTTCATGGCCACTTGGGGTTCTTGTTTCTGGCCACAGATTCTACAAGGTTCCCTAAGATTAAACTGGTTGGTTGTTGTACCTCTTTGACTATGACTCGAACGGTTTAAGCTGAAACCAACTTGGGAAACTACCTATTTTGACACCAAAGTCCTTATAATATATGTGTTGAATATGATTATCATCAACATCAACAATAGGAACTACTTGTTCATTAAGAGTCCGCAATATTATTCCGGTGTTTGTTATGATGATTTGTTTGTTTGTTTTTTTGTTTAGTTGAAACTATACTTGTTTAAGCACATGTGCAGATGTTGTTTACTTTGTTCAGCCAATTCATTTCATGTACTTTGTGTTAAATGTCTATCCACAGTTCGCGACACCCAAGCCGGACGCATCGGTCGGTCCGTGGTCGTCTGAGTCAGGAAGAGCGCCATGCGCTGCGGAGGCTGCGGTGCCAAGGTGGGCGCCACCACTTTAGCCCAGGCGCTAGCAGAGGGGCCGCGGCCGGCGGTGGCTGGGGGGGGGGGGCTGGGGTTTTTTGAAAGCCGGGAAGTGTGGCCTCAACATGCTGACTAAGACCCCTTGTATATATTTGTGCTTTCAGTTTGAACGCGTGTTAACAGCATCTACCGAAATCTTTTAAGTGGAGACTTCAGAATCTAGGCTCAGTGGTAAACGTAAGCGGGCCCTGAGTGTAAATCGATTCCATCATTTGATCCTGCGCAAAGCATCTGCTCTTCGTGAGCGACCTAAAGAACGCGTTGATTTGGCCTGAGTCAACGAGGCACATGAGCGGTTCATACCCCAACATGCCTCCTTCCAAGCCCACCTCTGACTCAACGTGTACTGCCTGAGAAAAAGTCGAGTCTGTTTTGGCCATTAGGCGGGTCTTCCCAAAAACTTGGTTGCTGTAATAAGTAATTTGCAAAAAAAGAAGTATGTTTGTTGGGTTCAATACGAACAAACCTTGATTTCAACCAAAGAGTTAAAGTCTGAAGATCCAACTCAATAGTATTCAAGAAAACTACAGCTTGAAGTCCAGCAACTCCAGGATTGAGACATGACTTTCCAAGGAGCTTGACAAGTGTTGATCACCCGAGGCTGGGTCTTTTGGTTTTGGAGCGTTGTGGGGACAAGCCTACATCAGCTTTTGGCCCCCAACCAAAACCCAGTCGATGTTTTGATTCTGGTCCATATCCAGTAACCTGAACACACAAGATACTCCCTGGCATGTGAAACCCCAAACTGTAGGCCCATCAAAGGAGGTTTCTCTCGATGCATGGTTCTTGTTGGGGTTCTGTTTAATTGCATGAAATATCAAAGTCAGAGAAACCAGCTGCAGGAAACACTAGAAACAACTTCCTGGTTCTTGTCTTTCAATCACATACCCAGACCTGTTGCATGTCCTGTTTCCAGAAAATGGCCTCTGAGAAACATGTGGTTTTGGGGAGCATACAAAGGAACTCTCAAAAGGTCAGCCTCTTCGGAAGACAGTTATTTTTTTGGAATCGAAGCTTGAGGTTCCAATAGAATTTGGAGCTTCGTGGTCCAACAACTTCCTCATCATGGGAAGTGGTTCTGGCCTTGGTTTAGGGGTAGTGCCCACATAAACCTTTTGGACCATGTAGAACCAATAATGTTGACCCCATATCAAGCAATCCCAGTTGATGAATAGGGGGGTGTCCCTGCAAAATGATGATTCCCGACATTTCACCCAGGGAAAGCACCCCCCTATCAAGAAATAGGGGTTGATTCATATGGGGTCAGCATGAAGCTTTAGACTTCGTTTAGGGGCAGTGCCCAGCGAAAAACCTGGACCATGTGCGCTCAATGAAGCCAGAGCTCCAGGCCCAAAAAAAGATCCGGAGGCGATGGCCCGATGTTCCAGCTACATCCCCCGGCAGCCGGAGAGGGGCGAAAAGGCCGAGTCGCAAGTCGCGAGTCGCTCAACAGCCAGGCATATGGGTGTGTCCCCCTCCCCCCCCCTTTCGTGGTTTTAAAGGAAAGCCAAAGAAAAACCACCATTTGGGCGTGGCTCAAAACTTAAGAGCTATGGTTAGGCAGGTTTTAGTCTTTGGTTCCATTTGCCAAGGTGTCATGTTGGTACAGTTGTTTTGACCCACAGCCATATGGTTATGAATCATTGAACCACCTAAGAAAAATATTGATGGAGATGAATCACCGCCAATCTCTGATTTCCTGTCAACCAGTTGGGGTCCATGAACATTCATTATTGAGTTTCCCCATATCGAAGCCGAAACAGAATGGACCCTTTTCATTTTTTTTCCAGAGCCCCGGTTTCGCACCCAAATTCGGGAGGGATGGGGAGCTCGAAACTCTCAAATTCAACCACTGGTTTTGTTTGGAGCCGGTCCGTGCCACAGGTGTTCCTTCAAAACTCCATAGCCCTGGCCGGCAAATCAAGCCCAGAAAGATTCCAAGCGGGTCCAAGCATGAACCCCCAAAAAAACAATACCCTGGAAAGTGGGGGCACCATTTGCGTTTACTATGGTTCTCCAATCCGTTGTGTTTTTAGATCACCTGGGCCAATCCAAGGTGAGTTGCCTTGTGAGGTGACGAGTCACTGTGGGGAATCCCGCACTGCCCAAGCCACGCCGGAAAACCATTTGGAAACATGGGTGAGAGGTTCGGAACCCCTTTTGGTTGGTCGGGAGAAACAACAAAAAGAGAACTGGAGCCAATTTTGTGTGTGCGTGGGTGTCCAAACTGTTTTGGTACCATTTTGGCTGGTAGGTGAATTCAGCACCCATTTTAGAACTTGTTTTAGTGGTTGGATTGGGATGTTCACTGGGGGTACGATTTGGGTTTTGACCCATAGCCGTTCGTGCGTACGACCCCCGACCCCGGGCGCTTGAACCAACCACCGGCCACGTCGTAGGCGCAGGTGGTGGTGGGCGCCGGGGATGATGCCGCGGTGGTGGACTTCTTTCACGAAGCTCGGCTGCCGTGGGCGGTTGGTTTTGAGGCTTCACCCATGTTGGGGCTCACCCATGTTGGGGCTCACCCATGTTGCTTCCCCAGAATTAGCTCCCTTTTTTTGTGTTTTTGCTTTTTTGGGGTCCCTTTGTTTTCCACAAACCAGGCGAAAAATATATATATATATATATATATATATTATATATATATTTTTGCTGGTTGGGGGTCACTCAGTGGACGTTTTGAGGCTCAGCCATGTTGGGGGTTGATTCAAAGGCAGACTCCAAGGTTGCTAAGCCACAGGCGACCAACCCAAAATTGGAGGTGTTCCGCACTATGTTCAGACAACCTCCTTTTCGCAAAGCTCCGTTGATTTGTAGGGATTTAAGCGAGCTATAAATGATATTGCTCAATGGGATGTGCGCGGCTTCAAACGAGCCAAGGGGGGCGCACACGCGATTTCACCATGATGTATATCCCAAGTCTTGCGAATCCAATTCCAATCTCCGCCTGAATGCAAGCACTGTAAAAGTTTCAGGTCGTAGAGGTCAATACATGCATGGCTGACCTCCCAAGATTGAGCCGATATTGACGCTCAACTCGAGTCTCAGGTTGCCAAATACCTCCAGTTGGCCATAGGGCCTCCAGTTCATTAGGAGGATCTTTTCGAGGAATCTCTTTGGGGGGGGGACCCCCCCTTGGTGTTCCATGTAATCTTTACCCCGCCTTAATACACCCATCTTAGAAGCAGGAGGTGCTCTCGCAAGTGATGAATAAGACACCCACTCAAAATTTCGGCCAGGGGTTGAGTACTCCGGAGTGAATTACTCACTTCCCGAGTTCCTGAACTTGAAACTGTTTGGAAAGACCATCTAGCTCTGGGTACCATTTTGGTTGGTAGGTGAATTCAGCACCCATTTTTAGAACCTATTTGAGTGGTTGGATTGGGATTCACTGGGGGCTAACCGATTTGGGTTTTGAAAAGCCCATGGCCATTTTAGTAAAGAAGAGGCTTGGCCTTCCTCCGGCCAATCAAGTCACCGGACCGGGGCGGTCAGACCCGCGGCGCGAAAAAAAAAGCGCCGCCGAGGCGAACGGCAAGATCTCCACGGTGCAGAGCATCGACTTCTTTCGGAGCTTTGTGGAGGACCCTTTTGCCACTCGGCAGCGGTTTGTTCGGAGCTTCCTTCGGGGCGGCGAAGAGTTCCCGGGGAAAATCGCCTCACATTTGTTTGCTTGCTTGCCGGACGGAACATCGCCGCACATTTGTTTGGTGGCCGGAAGCCACTGAATTCGGATGCCCACCATGACTACTGTTTCGGAGACCCTTGCGGAAACCAACAGCTGGGTTTAAGACAACCTGATAGTCTAGCCGAAAAAGGCAACCCTGCGTGGGTGTGTCGCAAACGGGACCAATCTCTCAAAAGCTTTGACGGCTTTTGGGGGATTCAAAAGTCAACTGCTGGGGATGAATCTCCTTTTGGCATTTTGAATCACGTCCTTTTAACCGGTTCGCTTGACCCATGTGGGTGTGGGTCAAAACCAATGGCACCATTTTGGGGTAGGTGCACCAGCCATTCTAGAACCTATTTTAGTGGTTGGATTGAATCGGATGTTCACTGGGGGTACGATTTGGATTTTGACTCATGGACATGTGGGTGTGCCTGTTAGACTACTTGCCCAGGTCCTGTTGGTTTTCCTAAAACCAACCTCCGGCTACTGATTGCGGCCCGCCTAGCCATGGCTACAGTTCAAATCCCCTGCGACACATACCAACTCATACCAACACTTGGCAAGTCCTTGTTTTTTTTTGGGGGCCCTAAAAATGATGGGGTGTCCTTTGCCTTCCCTTTAAAAACCACAAACCAACGGGGTCCCTCAAAAAAGCGACACACCCATATGTTTCCCTGTTGGTGGTTTGAAACAGCATCTCTTGATGGCCATTTGAAAGTGAGTTGCCTTGTGCTTTTTTTCGGTGGATTGATAGATATTCTTTAGGTGACACATCAAATAGAGATTGAATTTGCTCGAGGGATCCACAAAGCGTTGCACGAAGCAGGATCGCCTGCAACAAAAAAAATCGAAGAACCACCTACTCACTACCCTTGCTAGCTGGGGCTCATAAATGCCAATAAGTCCTTCTAGTGAGTAACAAGCAGGCAGCGCATCGGCCTTCCAGGTTTGGTGTTTGCTTTTCTGGTTCACATCTCCTTCAATCTTTGCCGAGTGTTCCTCTAGCTATATTGGTTGGGTGAAGCCATACTGGTTGGGCATGCAAAAACTGCTAGTTACGAGGGAGGGAGAAAAAAAACGGGGGAACAACAAAAAACAACAACTCCCAGCATACATGGGAGTGCGGAGCGGTAGAAAATTGATTCGCCTTGGTTTTCTTTGGTGCATTCTGCTTGGATGTTAGGACTTTAACTTGTTGCTATCTAATGGGGTTTCCATTGAACTACTAAAAGTTAAACTTTTAGCAGGGGAGCAGAAAGCAACCGAGTTTTGCCGCCCAAGCTTCGGTTTGGACGCCAAAGCTTCGAGCCGATTGAATCTGCTTCTGGCCAAGTGGGGGATGCTCTTCAAGGCTATGGCGTTTAGTTGGACCCGATAGACTGCTGTTTGCTTACGAACATGTCTTTTACTTTCCTCTGTTGGTTTTAGAGTCGGAATCTGTCACTTTTTTTTTCCAGGGAGCTTAAGACAATGGAGGTAGAGGTTGCCAAATGCAAGTTCAAGGCTCTGGCATTCAGTTGCTTCGACCCCAGAAGTGGTTGCTTCGTATCGGGAACTCGATGGTGCTCTCCCGATGGTGACGTTCCGTTCTGTGACACATCTCATGAGCCAAGTTCAAAACCCAGGTAAGTCAAGCTTGGTAAAGGGACAGTCCCAACCAGAATTAGGTGCCGCCGCCTTTGTAGTTCTTTACATTGGTTTGGGTCGACCCTTTTAATTTTGACTCTCATGGATGTCCAACGGTTCCCGTGTTGGGCTCTTGAAAAGCCGAAAAGCCGACAAGGCAACCAGAAAGTCTTGACAAGGCAAGCCTGGGCTGCGGGAAGGAGGATTGCTCGGTGAAGCCGCTTAAAATGATAGGAACATGGAACCCCCCTGCAAGTGAATAAGTTAGTTGGGGGTTGTTGAAAAGGTGCGCAATACATTGGATGACCAGTGGTTGGAGAACCACTAAAAAGATGATAGTCCCCACTACATGAGAGAAATTGCCCATGGTCCTTTGGGGCCAGGAATATCGATCAACCCCCAATTGTCATTGGGAATTGGGGGAGAGGTATTGCCGAAGTCGTCGGGGTTTCCGGAGCTCTGTTGTTCGCAGCGCAGAACAGCCCAGAGGCCAAGGGAATAGCGTAGCAGGCTGCTGACTCGCTTTCTCCCGCAAGGAAAGTCAACCAAAAAGAACTACGAATCCTGAGTCATGACAAGGGAAATTTGCGCTACCAACCAATCCCCTAATGATTCTTCATGTTCAAAATGGGTGTCGGCTTCTATTTTGTGTTTGTTTCCTGCACGCGACTGAGGGGCTGTCCAACCTCTGGTTTCAAAGAAAGAGTGGCTACGATTCGCGACCCTTTTACATGGCTGCCAAAAGACAATCAACTCTTTCCAGGGTTCCACCGTTCAAACCTTGTTCCTCAAGCCGCTGTGCAAACAGCCTCCTTTTGGTTGATCCTTTTTGAAGCGCAACCCTTAAGACACTTTTCTGTTCAGTTTTTCAGCCACCCTTTGTGTACTTAACCCTTCGGACACGAATCCACAAAAACCTACCTAGATTCTCCATGACCCCTAGAAAAAGCGGTCATAACCCCTGAATTTTGGAGAATGACCCACCATTTTTAAAGGGTCAGAAGGAGACTCCAGGTAGCCCAGTAGGCCATCCATCTGCTCGCTCAAAAGGCGCCAGACGAATCCCACGAAGTCCCAGGTCATGGGCCAAGTGGCGGCCTTCCACGCCTTGTCGGACCTTGAGGCGACGAAAAGTTGGACCCACAGCGGCTGTTACTCGATCTTTGCCCACAGCGAGTCTCTCAGTTTTGGGTGGCACCCTTTTTCTTTTCCCAACTTCTTTTTGTTGGTGGCCCCACGAAAAATGGTCCAAGCCCCAAAAAGGGTTCCCTCTCTTTTTTCCCAGGGTCACTGAACAACTGAGGTCTCCATGACCCGTGAAAATTGGTTGGTCATTACCCTAAAAAATGGGGTCATGGACTTCTGTTTTTTTGAGGGTCAGAGGGAGACTCCAGGTACTTCTGGGTTCCATCGGTTTGGCAGCACCGGGGCTTTGGAATCAGAACTTGGAACCCTTTTTTGGGACGCTTGGAAGGAGAAACCAGGGCGTTGGCGAAGGGGTTTGGGAATGAACTGGGTCCCCTTGAGCAAAGCAGAGATGGTTCAGTTTCAGTCCCTTTGAAGAACCAAAGGAAATCCAAATCGGATCTTGGCGAGCCACGCTCATCTCTTATTTTGAGGCCGAGTGGTATGCTATCTTCTCTGGAATAATCTTCAATGGAGAAAAGATTGTTGGTACTAATAATTTATTACTTTCATCCTCATGTACACTCTCTCTTTATCATTGTAATTTAATATGTATTGCTATTCTTCTTACCTTTTCCCCAATGCATTTCTTAGGATTTAATGTTATGCCAAGAAGAATCCCATCCTTTCCAGATTATTTTCATTCCTGGAATTACCTGTCATCTATTGGATCAGGAATAACTTTCCTATATGTTTCTTTTCTTTATGTTTATTTGCTTATCTTATGTTGTTTGTGTCTTTCCTTTTTCATCTTTTTCCTTCATCACTTCAAGCCTCAGAGATAAGGAATAGGCTTACCATGGCAAATAATAAATCCTGGAAATGTAATGCTTTTCTTGCTTCCTCCTTCATTCTTCTTCACTGTCAAGGACCTAGACCAAGTGACGAGGAAGAAAGAATGGGACACACGAAGAGTTATTCTATCTTAGCTGCATTCATATGTTAGTCCTCAAGCCAGTTAACCAATTGACATCTAAGGGACATGGATGGGCTGGAATGAATCTTCTTTCCTTATCTTGTTTGTTTACCTTTCTGTATCTCCGGTTTCCTTTTATCTTAGGCCTAATATCTTTGGGTTTTTATTAATAATTCTTTCCTCAGCTTACAATTTACCTTTATCCACCTGTTCACCCTCTATTTTCCCGGGTTCTTATGATCATCTTCTCTTTCATCTGTTCTCTTCATCATCAATTCTCTTCACTGTAACCTCAGGTACCCATTCCTCACTGCAAAGAATCTGGGGCTGAGGAAGAGCGCCCGCCAAGTTGGTTTTCTTGGCTGCTATGTGCGTGGATTAACCTTTAGTGTTTTGGACAAATGTTTGTTTGTCCACTCACCAGCTTTGGGCTTTCTGCTCCTTCCTCATTTTTTCCTGAATGGATGCTCGCCTCAGACGGGTATCATTACCAACCATAGCGATGCGGGAGCAACAAGTTGAACTTTACGGCCACCGATAAACCCAGAGCATATTCCAGGACGCACTTGCGGTTCATGTTGAGGGTTGAGTCATTTCGGAGTGAATTTCAATCCTTGAGCAATGTTCTGTGATTATGATCTCAGGAAAACTTAGTTGTCCAAAACGAATCGGCTGGATCGGATTTCCCTTGCATGAAGGGCTCTCTGTAATGCGGCGTCAGGGGCCCACGCCTTGCTCCCCTTGCCTGCCTGTTGGGTTCCGACGCACGCACGCACTCACGCACTCACGCACCCACGCACCCACGCACCCACGCACCCACGCACCCACGCACGCACGCACGCACGCACGCACGCACGCACGCACGCACGCACGCACGCACGCACGCACGCACGCACGCACGCACGCACGCACGCACGCACGCACGCACGCACGCACGCACGCACGCACGCACGCACGCACGCACGCACGCACGCACGCACGCACGCACGCACGCACGCACGCACGCACGCACGCACGCACGCACGCACGCACGCACGCACGCACGCACGCACGCACGCACGCACGCACGCACGCACGCACGCACGCACGCACGCACGCACGCACGCACGCACGCACGCACGCACGCACGCACGCACGCACGCACGCACGCACGCACGCACGCACGCACGCACGCACGCACGCACGCACGCACGCACGCACGCACGCACGCACGCACGCACGCACGCACGCACGCACGCACGCACGCACGCACGCACGCACGCACGCACGCACGCACGCACGCACGCACGCACGCACGCACGCACGCACGCACGCACGCACGCACGCACGCACGCACGCACGCACGCACGCGTTTCTTTGTACAGTAAACTAAACTATGGGGTTAATTAATATGGTGTCAACATTATGCCCATTTGTAGGGTAGACAAAATATGAAACAGGATCTCAACATTTGATTTTAGGAGTGCCCCTTTTCTTGCAACCCGTGGTTGTTTGGCTTGCTGGCTTGGGATTTTGGAGAAATGGGAAGCCAGCCCACTAAACCACCACTCCCAGCCCCTAAAATCCCCCTCTCTCTGCCTCGCCCGTCCGGACGCTTCGCGAATCATGGAGGCAGACCGCACCGGTCCGGCAGCTTTAAGCTGCAGTGCTCAGTTGGCACCCCCCTCTCCCACATGAGCATGTCTGCTCCGGTACGTGTACCCTAGCAAGCAGCTCAAATACAAAAAGGCCCCTGTGTGAAACAATCATGAACAATATAAGTCGGCACTTGTTGCACACTTGCTGTGACCGCTGCGCAGGGCCGCCCCGTAGAGCCTAGCACCCCTTGCCGGTTACAGACACCCAATGCACGCAAGGCATCATGGGGCTGTTGGAGGCAACCCACTTATGCAAGCATCAGATCTGGTGAGGCCTATCACATAGCTATTATGAGCAAGCTGTTGCAAGTCGTGTTGGTTAGCAAGTGCTGTGAAGCTCTCATCATCAGCCAAAAAGTACACCCACTGCCGCAGCGGGTGGTATCCACTCAGAACAGTACGATAATGACCTGAAGAGAGACTGGGCCCCACATGCTCAATCACAAAACTGACTTGGCATTCAGCCCACTGAGCTTGCAACTCAATACCAGCAAAGACTGGCAAGCACACAGTCATTCCGGCCTGAATGTTCAATGGCTGCGTTTGCTTGCGTGGCCCATACCTGCTACCAGCATACCTCTGAAGCACTATGGGCACATGCACACTGGCTCTTAGCATGGCATGCAGGTAATGCTGAGCATGCCACGCTTGGATGCACCCGTGCAGTGTCGGGGAACTCACTTCTATGGCAAGTGGGCTGTGCGGCCCTCCTACATCCATGACGCGCATAGCCCCATCGACTTGAAGCCGCGCCTGCCAAGCAACATCAATGTCCGGAGGCAATGCTTTGCGCAACAAAAATGCCAAGAGTTCGCCTGCATCCTGTTGCACATGGATGCTTTCCCAGCCCTGCAAAAGCAGCTGCCAAGGCAACAAGAGTGTGAGGCACATTTGACCACCTGTTCGGAGAAGACTGAGGCCAGCCTCCAAGCCTCCCATGGCAGATCGGCCTGTCCTGCCGGTGAGATATCCCAGCCAAACCAACGAATGCGCACATGCATTCAAATAGCACGCGCAGCCGTTGTTATGCAACATGAGACGCGACGGCCTCAAGTTCAAAGCTCGGAGCCCCTCAGGGAGCCCAGCTGTTGCTGAAGCTGCTGGACTGCTGGCTGCCGGTCCATCCGCTCCGGGCGAAGGCGCAACCCAACAAGCTTCAGGCACGCGCTGTAGCAAAGCTCTCGGAAGAGGGAATGCAGCTCTGCGGCATCGCTCCCCTGCGTGGACACTGCGAGGAGAAAGACCAAGTTCTCCCCGGAGCTGTTGCTCGTCAGAGGCCGTGTGGAATGGAACTTGTGGATCAAATGCTCCCGGGGGATGTACGACAAGATCTTCTGCATCGTGGCATGGGCCTGCTCGAAAGACATTGGGGCTTTGGTGGGCGATGGTATCTGCTGGGAAGCCCTGTGATCCCAGTCAAGGTAGGCCCAGGAATTGCCAGCCGCAGCCACCAGGGTCTGGCGAAGAGACATGTTGAGCTCCTCGGGCTTCGACTCCTTGAGGCTCTTCCAACGCTGGCTGACCTGCAGGAGAGGGTTCAGGAGACTGTGCGAGCCCTTCTCGAGAAAGAGGACAAAGGAGCTGTCCGCCCTCACCTGCGCTATGACATCCTCGTGGCGCGTGAGAATGCGCTGGACTGTCTGCAGAACCTGCGTCACACCGCGGCTGGAGGCAGCGTCCGGTCTTTAGTTCTGGTTGCCCCTGTCTCTGCGTTGCCCCGCCCACGTCCCTTGCCCCCCTTGCTCTCCGGCTTGGCCCATTTGTGCTAAAATCCCCCTGCCTCTGAAGGAAACTCATGGAACCCGCAACTTGGCCCCCACTAAACCACGGACTTCTTGCTTCTTCTCACCGCCTTTCAGTGTCCCACGCGGAGGTTTTTCAGGCTGCCTTCGCGGGCCCGTCCCATTTCTTTGGCCCTGCTTCTCACACCGCGAAAAAAAGGTAGAAACACATATAGTTAAAATAAATAAACTACAACAACAACAACAACAAAAACAACACCCCCCCCCCCAAAAAAAAATACACACACACAAAAACAACAACAAAAACGGGGAACCCAAAAACCAACAACACCAGAACAACAACAAACAACAAACAACAACCCCCCCCCCAAGCAAAAAAAACGCAGCGCAGGCCATGGGCGCCTCGGCGCTGAGCGCCATGGCCTTGGCGCAGGTGCCCTTTGCCATGGAGGAGCCGGATGCGTCGGAGACCGGCGGAGACCGGCGAATGGCTTCCATTTGCTTGAGAAGATATATATAAATATTGATTTGTTAAAAAGAAAATAGAAAGTAAACAATATGTCCTTGTTGGTTTTCAACTGGACGTTATTTCACTTTAAAATATGTTTGTTTTGTTTTACTTGTCCCTGTTGGTTTTCACCTGGACATCATTTTACTTTAATAGTATATATACATATGTTTCAAAACAAACTGTTGGTTTTGAAGGGAATCTATCGATGGGGCAGCGAGGTGGGGGCGGGTGTTGCATTCACTCGCTGGTGCGCATGAACAACGTGCTTTAAGGTTGTTATGTGTTTTTTCTCGCAAAAACCTGAAAACCGCAAAGAAGAAATGCCATTCGAGTTGAAGCTCAGAACAATTCGTTTGGGAACCCAAGAACACCCGGGCGTGGCGGAGTTGCTGTCTCAGCCGGCGGTGCTCTCCGTGTTTTGGATCGTAACTCGTGGGACTCACTTCCACCTGGACTTCGCTCAGTTGGGTTTGGGCCATTTCTTTTTCAGGGCTCCTCAAACGATACATGTGCCCATTTGAAACATGTCTTTTTCAACACCAACATAAAGGGAAACCCACCATTTGCAAGGCAGTGTTCAGGTGTATAATGTAAGGATCCCTGTTTTTTTTCCGTGGCAAGAGATCCCGATCGATTTTTTGGGGCCAATCCACGAAAGTGAGGAGCTGCCACCCCAAGCTGCCACCATGTCATCACCTGTCCGGGTCCAGGTTGCCACCCCCAATCCACCGAACAACCCCCCCTCTTGCCACTCCATCCTGTTGCCGGGTGTTGCCCATCCCGAGCGTCCGAGTGTCCAAGCATAGGTGTCCTTTTTGGTTGTTTTGGTCGAGAAATGGATGGGTTTCCCCGGTTTTCCTTGAGTCATCTACCAGGGAAGCCCATCTATTTCACCTCCACAGTACTGCCACTTGCTTTTCTCTTTTTTTTAACACCTTGTTGGCTTTACAGGGAATCTATTCCCTGTCCGCGAGGAGAAGCAGGAGGAGGACTTGGTGCAGCTCATGGCCGGCGCCTCCTTGGCCCTCAAGTCCGTGGGCTGCGCTCTGGTCGGAGGACGCGAGTCGGGTCGAAGGTCGAAGGGCGAAGGGCGAAGGGCGAGAGACACTGCCGGGCCCCCGTTGGCGCCGAGAAATCGGACCTTCCATTTTCTTAAGAACATTTGATTACTATATTTTCCCCCTGCTGGTTTTAAAGGGAAGCTGTCACTACTGGAAAGTTGCTTCTTTGTTTTTCCCCGTGGACTTAAATACTTACCTCTTAAGAACACAACTTTTCAACTTTTTGGGTAACATGGGCTATATGTCTGTAAAAGATTAACTTCCCCAGGGCTTGGAGTTTTAAGGGGTAAGATGGAAGTGACCAAAAGCAATATATTTGAGCAGATTCACTACACAGTATGCTTGTGCTGCCACTTCTCCAGCTGCTTCCTTTCAACCTTCTTGGGATAAAAGGGGTAAACCTCTTGAAAATCGACCAAGCAAGGAGTGCCGAAACTGTTTTGACCACGGAAATCCGCTGGGGCTGTGAGTTTCTGGGCTAAGCGTGGTGGACTTGCAAGCATGTCTCATGATCTCCGACATGTGTCATGTGTCTCTCTTGAGCTCTGAGGGCGGCCAATGAATTTGATGGGAGATCCATGTCCTCTTCAAACCGACTTGGGGAGATGACTTTATGGCTATTTGGTTGGACTTTGGGCTGTAACTTTTGGGAAAGACTGCAGCAGCCAAAATGAAGATTAGATACGCCTTGGAATCCTTTTCGTAGACCCTTCGACTCATATGTTGCCTAGAGTTGCCATCTCCTGGCCCGTAAGACATGGCACATCTTGCAAGTCCTGCCGTCGTTTTGTTTCGTGTGTGTGTGTGTGTGTTTGCAACCATGCAGGGTCTTGAATGAGGATATTTCTCAAAATGGTGGAGAAGCTCCCTTTTCCTTTTGCTTGTTTTTGTTGAGAGAAACCCAGAGGAAACCGACGGCTTTTTGGGGGGCCCGACGAGAAGTCATGTCCATGTTTTGGCCCAACTCATATTAGACTATGTGACTCATGGTTTAGTTCACCCCTATATGGAGGTGTGATGTCTATGTGGGTACGTCTTCTGGAGGGGGGAGCCACTGTGTGTCTCTTCTTTTTGCGGGTACCTTGTGGTTTGTGATGTCAAAGGGAAACCGAAAGGAAAACCGTTGCGCATCATTTTTTTTGGGGGGGGGATTTTTCAATCAGTCCCTAAGAGAAGACGCGCCATCCCTGCTGGATGGACGAAATCCTGCACCACCGTTCCGAAACCTTTAGAATGATGCGATGTCCTTGCAAATAAAGTGGTGCGAAATAGATTTCGCAACCATCCACAGTATGGAAGGCCAAAATCAGAAACCCAAAAAGGAATTGCAGAAAGTCAGGTCGTGAGGTGTCTATGGTTGTACGGTCCTTTACATGGGAGGACCATTGGTTCGAAACCCACTAAGAAGAGAAGATACATCCCACTAAATGGGAAGCTTTACCCATGGCCATCCACATAATGGGGGTTGATCAAAAGGTCCTTTAGACGGGATGCCACTTGGAGAAAATAATATGTTTTCCACCAAATGTGAAAAGTTACCCCATGTCAAAAACGGAATATTGATCAGCCCCCATGTGTAGGCCACTAAATGGATGATATAGCTAGCTCTCACTAAATCGGAAAAGTTCCCCATGGGCATCCATGTGGCTGTGGCTCAAAAAACCGGAATTCCAAAATGGGTTGCCCTGGTTCTGTGGAAACATGGGTACCAAAACCTGCGGTTTGTTTTCCCTATTTCATTTTGAGCCACAGCCATGTCTGTGTGTCTATGTGCGTACTAGTACGTGTGGCTCCGCCTTCCTGGAGTCTCCATGGGTCACAATTCTGTTTTGGGAATGACCAGCCCTTTTTTTTGCGGATGTGGAGACTCCAGAGTATGTTTCTTTTTGGCAGGGTTCCCCGTTTTTGGGCAGGGTTCCCTTTTTTTAGGTGCCCAATTTTTGAGGCTTCAGATGGGGTCATGGCATGAAGACTCCAACGTCTCCGTTTCGTCTTGGGGCCCAGGACACACCTGCGAGGCCAAGGAGCTCGGCCTGGGCTTCGCGGTCACTGGCACCCTGGAGCCTCGGAGAGAAAAATTCCGCGGGCTCCGAAAGTTGGTCAATGTCCGAACTGGGGACACTTCCAACCATTCTTTCCAGTGATTCTTTCCAGTAATTTTGCATTGACTGACATCCTTTCCTGAGTTCTTGAACTCACCTGATTCTTTCCAATCCTTCTTTCCAGTAAAACATCAGAATTTTAGGGGAAACAGCGATCGGTTTTTGAAAAGAAGGATGGTTGAAAAATCATGGGGAATGAACCCGTAGAAATGTCCGAACTGGGTGGTTCGGGTTTTCTAATGTTGAGTACAAGAGCAATATGTGCATATAGTTAGTCTATATTATTGGCGGCGGGGTCCCCGGGTTTAGTTGGGATTCTGTCTACTTTTGGAGGGGAACTTTGGGTTCCATGTAAATTGCTACAGTGGGCGAAGCAGAATATGTGCATATGTGAGTCTACATGTTGGGTTCCAGGTTAGTTTGCACACTTGCAGCAGAATGATACTGTGCTAGTCTACCGTTTGGTTCTATGCCCATGTGAGTCACAATCAAAAACCCGGTAGTATGAGGGAAGTAAGGGACAATCCCAGCCCGAAATAGTTGCGGCCGCCTTCTTAATTCTTTAAGTGGTTCTGGGTAGACCATTCTAATACCGGGTTGTGATTGTGTCTCATTTGTAGGGTAGACGAAATATGAAACCGACGAAACCTCTGACTTGAGGACCTGGTTTGGCTTGGCGGTTTGGATGTGGACTTGAACAGGTCCCTGGGAAACTGCCCTGGACCAAAGCACCGATTCGGCTCGAAACCACTCCTACTGGTTGCTCCACTTACCAAACTGAGCTGACAACCCGTATCTCGGCTTTTGGAGTTGCAGCCTTCTCCTGCTTTGGCTGGTTTGTTTGATTGTTTGCTTTTGTTTGTTTGTTTGTTTGTTTGTTTGCTTTTTTGCTTGTTGTTTTTTGCCATTTCAGGGGATCGATTGCTCTTTCAGACACCCTTATACGCCAGTCTTCCGTCTTCACCTCCCCCGATCAATTGCACCCTTGGGAGTCATGCCCACAACAATTCCAATGGCCGAACATTCTCCTCTCAAACACCACCCAAAGGACCACCCCCCCAAGAAAAACAATAGCCACCAGAAAAAAAATGCTGCCATCCCAAAGCAAAAGTCAGGGTTCCCTTTTATCCCTTAGCACGTCACCCCTAGCCTTGGGGAAACTCACTTTAAGTGGGCAGCTGTATGGGTCAAAGTGATGTTCGAACCCGACAAAGGGAAATCCCTCGCAACACCCAAATATCCAAATCTTGGTCCACATCTGGAGGTACTGCCAAAGTGCTTTTGGTTTCCCTTTCGGGACCAACCAAAAGTGTCCACCTCCCCCTCAAACAAAATAAAGACAACAAATAGTCTTCCCTTCGGCTTCCTTTACCAACCCCCCTAAGGACACAAAGAAAGGCACACACACACACATACACCTTACACACAAAACCGACCCCCCAATGACAGGGAAGCTGGAATTGCGGGATCCCGTCCTGGATTCTCATGCCATGTGAGACCAAGCCGTGGCCATCCGGGTATTTCAGACACCTAGTTTAACTTCTTTGTTTTGGAAGACCCCATCAAACCCAAGTCAAATGACTCCCAGAAGCAGGGTGCAGCATACACCCAGCCAGCTGTTGTGCGGGGCGGGCGATAGATGAACCTCGCTTTCTTGGCACGTGTCGTAGTTTTGGATTCTGCTCATGTTTCGTGAGCTGCAACATGCATAGTGTTTTATCACATGCCAATTGGACAGTGAACCCATGCGTTTGTCGTACGAAGGATTCGATCTCCGAAGCCATGAAGAAGAACCTGCTGGAGCCAGGCGGGCTTTTTGTTCAGACTACTTGCTGGTTCGTAAGGAATGCAATCAATTGAGGGCATTTGGGAATGAACCGTTTTGGGATTTCCGAAAAAAGGAAACCACTAGAGATGGTCGAAAAGACGTCACGCCCTCATGCCCTGAGAACCAACACGAACAAGTTCAAAGGCTTGCGTTGTAGATTGCCACTTTCTGTGATGGCCTGCATTTGTCTTTTCCAGGAGGTATTTGGAGTGGTGCGTTTGGTCCCGCAAGAGTGGCGTGAAAACTTAAGCTTGACAGGCGCGAACTTTGGACACTGCCCCGTACTTTCACGCTTGCCTGATGGAAACCTCGAGCCGCTGAAACGGTCCAAGCCAAACTGTGCCTGGCAACATGTTTGCAGCATAGGCATCCTGTTCAGGTTAGTTTCGTTCAACAATAGATGGGTTCCACTGGTTTAGATAGGGTTTAATTATTTATTACTCACTTCTAAAAAACATAAATATTTTCTCAAAAGGTCATGGTTTCCAGGGTTTCTATGGCGCCCATTTCCTCGTTTGTCGCGAGGGGAGTCGCTGATCCTTACAAAGCCGCTGGGCACGGGGGTCCTCTTCGCCGCAGACATGCGAGCTCCTTGATCTGAGTCCGGCGATTTTGAGCGGGGGTCACAATAATGTTATCCCCGGATCTAAGCAGAACCCCTGGTTGATTTTGATCGGGGGGGTGTCCCCTTTAAGTGCTTAGATTCAGACCACTTTTGGAGGGAACACCCCCCTAATGATGGGACAGGTTTATTAATCCTGGGTCAACATTAATGTTAACCCTGGATTAATCAACCAACCAGTTTATGAATAGGGGGGGGTGAATTCCCCTCCAAAAGTGAACAGAATCCCCACTAAAACAAGGGACACCCCCATGTGAATAAACAGGGGTTTATTAATAGGGGGCGTTCATATTAGGTTTGGGGACTGGGACTTGGCGGCTCCCAGCGATTCATCCGGTTCCTCAACTTTTCAGCTTTGTAGTGTTTAGCGGGGATTTCCATTTAACCCACTAAAATTTATACATTGCGCGGGGGATCTGAGGACAGCCCAGGGGAGAAATCACAAGTTGGAGGTGAGAGTTGAAGATGTCACTACCCCAAATGGAACCCTAGCAAGTGGAAGCGGACCAAAACCTGCGCTCCCCTGGTGGTTTAACTTTGACGCATACCCATCTGAACTGACAAAAGTACGAGTCTATTGTTAGTGGAGGGCATGAGAGGCTGCACCCAAGCTTCCCAGCAAAGACCAGGGGTCCGGGGCCTTTCTCCACGTCCTTTGGGACAGTGGCAACGTGGTTTTCAGGTTCCTTCAAGGAGTTTGGTTTGCATTTTGCAAATCAACTTTTAGACGTCAAAGATTTCAGTTCCTTGCAAGGCTTTGCTTGGCTGGTTTAGTGTTCGGGAATCAGATCTCCCTGTCAGGGGGGGGGGCCGGATCTCCAAAGCGGATAAGTCCACCTACCACTGCTCAATCAGTAGTCACTTACACGGGAATGTTCTGTAAGTTTACATGGAACCCATAAATGAAACTCCCATGTAAAGAGCTTTTGCTGGTTGGGAGAGCCCACTTTAAGCTTGCTTGCATCTGAATTAGTTCGCCAAAAAGGACTGAAGTTTGGCTGAGAATGCAGTCTCAGTTGTGACAGCAACACACGTTGTCGATGGAAGCATTGCTCAGCTCACTGCACATACTATGCGCACACAGCACATGCACACAGGTTTTTGAACCACACTCAGAGACCGTCATGCCATCCGGGTGTCCCCCCAATGCCTCCAAAGTATATGAATCATACACGGGCTTGTGTGTTGAAGGAACACGTTTCGCCTTGGCACAACGGGAAACCAGTCAAGAACACCACCATTTTGCAGGTCCAAATCCCTTTTTTGAAATGTACCAAAACAAACGTGCAACGGACACAGGCTGCCAAGGTATTGCTTGAAGTCCTCTATCGGTGCCCAGGCGTATTGTTAGGTATTCATATGGGAATCAGGACTGCCACGGTTCATTTAGCTTCATATCATGATCATTGCGGCTTGTTTCGGTTCCCCCACCACCACGAAGTTATTGTTGCTAGAACGGCTACACATTGGTTGCCATATTGTGAAAAGGACGAACGACGAACGAACACACACACACACACAAACAAAGGACAAAGCACGCAAACACGCAGACAGACAAGCAATAAAAGCAAACAAACAGGATATGTTTGACGCTATGCAGGTTCAAATCCATAGGCGCAAACTAGACCTCAACATAGCGGTAGTCTTTTAGTTTCCCTTCAAACCAAAGATACCTTCGACATCTTCCAAACGCCCAAAATCTGCAAGTATGTCCTTCGCAGATTGGCCAGACACGCTGGCGATCACGTATAATTTGTCATTTGAACCAGTGTAGTCTTTTGTTGGTTGGACAATTATATGGCTGCGGGTCAAAATTCAACCACCAGGGGACCGCAGCTTTTAGTCCATGTTTCCTCTTACAAGGGTTCCATTTTGGGTACCTATTTTTGACCCACAGCCCTATGGCCTGCCAAAATTAAAAGTGTGAGTTTCCTCTATTGCCAAACTGATCCTAAAAGTAGGGTCGATCGAACCACGTGGGGAGCAAATCGCGTAGCTCGCCACCGGCGAGCTGATCTGCGGGAGAGTGGTTCTTTCACGTTGTTTTGACTGCTGTTGGCTTGGATCTTTAGACTGTAACTTTTGGGGAAATCAAGGGGTGTTCCACTCAACCCCCAAAAAGTTAAACTTTTTGCAGGGGGGGCAACAGCAACCAAGCTGTGTAAAACGAGCTTTGCATGAAGATCGCATTGGGGAATTCTGGAGGTTTGAACTTGCAACATTATCCAGCTTTGATACAACGACTTGAGTAACATGGTTTGTGTTATGCGTGATTTTCTAAATCAGGTAGAAAATTTGAGACGGTTCTTGTGGAGGGGTAGGGACCCACCCCCCAATCTCGAAACCAAACCACCACCACTCACCTGAGTCTGTGGACTTTCGGCTTGGGTTTGGACCATTTCAGCAGAGTAAACCCCAAGTTTGGACCATTTTGGTGGAGTAAACCACAAGTTTGGTGGAGTAAACGCCAAGTTTGGACCATTTTGGTGGAGTAAACGCCAAGTTTGCACCATTTTGGTGGAGTAAGCCACCAGTCATAGTTGACTTCCGGCACCTATCTCCACGGCAAGCGTTCGACGAAGCAGCGACTCGCAACTCGAGGCGAAGGCGCGGGGTCCGTGGATCGCCGGGGCGCTGAAGCGCATGGTCTGCCGCTCGGTGCGCGAAAGCCGCCCTGGACCGTGGCGAGAAAAGCCCCAGCTGCAACCAGTGGATTGCGCCCCTTTTTGTTTCCATTTGTTTTTGGGATGGGAAGGGTTCGGATTCCTTTACAGTCAGCCAACCAAAACAGGATGCCCCCGTTTCTCCCCCTCGAAATCCACTGGGCATCTGAGAAGCCAAGCGACGGGATCTGAGCGGATCCGGTGTCGCCCTGTTTGGCGACCATTTTCTGTCATGGCCCCAAAAGATGCACTTTTATTAACCAGGCTCCCGCCTGCTGCCGCCGACCCTCGGCGCATTAAGGGAAAAGTCACAAGGACCGGTCCTGAAACACGTCCGCAAACCCAGGGACCACTTATAAGATCCTCTACGACCACAAACAAGGATTAACGGAAAAGTCAGAAATAGGGCAGCTAGTCCGTTAATTACCGCTTGGGCCGGCTTGCGCCCAAGTCACTTCGAGTTGGCCCGGGAGCAGTCGCCTCTCCCGGGGTCGCCCTGAAACTGGCCCTCCCGAAGTTGACCAGAAACAAGGATTAACGGAAAAGTCAGAAATAGGGCAGCTAGTCCGTTAATTACCGCTTGGGCCGGCTTGCGCCCAAGTCACTTCGAGTTGGCCGGGAGCAGTCGCCTCTCCCGGGGTCGCCCTGAAACTGGCCCTCCCGAAGTTGCCCTGGACCGGTCGCCGGCAGGGACCGGGACTTGGGACCCTGTCCAGGCTGGTCCCAGTCTGGCGCGGTTTGACTTGACGTATTGGACTCTCTTGCAGAATAGATGGGATCCTCTACTACCACAAGGACGTCAACAACCGCACGGGCCGGCTTGGTCGCAGGGTCATGGGTGCCAGTCCGGAAAGGTGTCTGGAGCGGTTTGAGGCAGCACAGCATATTGAATTGGGACCCAAGACCAGCGGTCACACCAGGACTCGATCCCGGACCGGCTTCCCAGACCGGTCCCAGGACTGGTCCTGGGACCGGTCCCAGGACCAGTCCCAGGACCGGTCCTGGGACCAGTCCCAGGACCAAACCGCTGGTCCTAGGACCGGTCCCAGGACTGGTCCCAGCACTGGTCCCAGGACTGGTCCCAGGACTGGTCCCAGGACTGGTCCTGGGACCAGTCCCAGGACCAGTCCCAGGACTGGTCCCAGGACCGGTCCTGGGACTGGTCCCGGACCGGTCCTGGGACCGGTCCCAGGACCGGTTTTGGCTGACTACAAGTAATCCAAAACAGCAGAACCAGGGTCCCAGGACCAGTCCCAGGACTGGTCCCAGGACTGGTCCCAGGACTGGTCCCAGGACTGGTCCCAGGACCGCTCCCGGGACCGGTCCCGGGACCGGTCCTGGGAATCCACTTTTTGTGGGTTCGGGCGTGTCCCCCAGGGACTATCATTGATTCCAATCACTTCCAGTTGCATCCCACGCCGGTCCCCTCTGCAGGAGGCTGGGACGGGAGGCAGAGGGTCGGCGGATTTCTGGGTGCTATGGCAACCGCGACCAAGTCGCAAAGCTGCATCAGGCTAAGAGAACCTGTTGATCCAAGCTGAGCGCGCCGGCGCAGCCGAAAGAGCCTGGAATCCAAAAAGTGGTACCGATTCTCAAGGGAGATTCCTGCGCATGAACGGTCTAGCCTTCCACACATTGCCATGACCCTGATTTTTTTTGCGGGAGTGCTGATTTTTGTGCGGGCTGCGGAGGGTGCATGGCAACGCAGGTGCTACTTGGATGTTCAAACTTCTTAGTAAGTATCTTATAGCAATACTTAGCTGCTGAATTGGCAAACGTTTAAATTCATTCATCATCTTAGTCAAGGGCCCAAAAGTCTAAGTGTTTTTTTTTTCTCCCTCAGCAAGTGAACTCAGCAAGTCACTATAGTACTACAAGTCAACCAACCCCCACTTCTGAGTGAACCAACTCGTGTCCCACTCGCATACCTTGGTTCTCTCTATCCCAGGCTCCAACGGCGTGGCGGCCAAGGTACTTCGCGCCAAAGGCGCCTTTGGCGCGGGGCTGTTCGAAAGCCGCGGGGAGTTGGTGCACTGGGAAAGCGGTGCTTCCCACGAAGCGACTGGCGGAAAGTTGAAGTGGTGAAGCCAAAGCAACGGACTGGAAATGAGGTCCCCTAGTAGTGCCCTTTTGCCTTTGCTTTTTTTTGGGGGGGGGAGGGGGTTCCCCGACTAAAATAGACTACAGAAAAAAAATCGGGTACCAACTTATTCTAACCTCTCTACAAGAGGACCTAGGCAAGCAACAAGTTGTTCACTGCACAGGCGACAGCCACCAAGCAATGAGGTCGGCCAGTAACTTGAGGTCCACGTGAACTTGAGCTGGAGACCTTGAAGCAAAAAGTCCAGCATGGGTCTTGGGCTGATAGAAGTGGCTTCTCTTGTTCCACTGGCCTTGTGACAGGAGTGACGTGGCTCGTCTTTGGGTCGTCCTGGTGGTTCCGCTTTAAAGTCACGCAAGGGGGGTACCAACTGAACAAGACGAGACCCATACGTAAGCCCAAAAAAGGTTGATCGGACTTGGAGCAACCCCATCAGGCGCTGCTATTGCGCCCCTGATATTCGCGCGAGCAGCGCCCAAAATCCCCTTTGGCCGTATTCGTAGATGGTCTTACGATATGCTTGGGTGGAAGAGGGGTTGTGGAAAAGCTTGTATAAAGCGCATAAAGTTGGTAGAACCCAAACTCAATGAGCTGCTCACACCGCTTGCCATGCGCAGCCTTTTGCGTAAAACTCTTGAGGATCCCAACTGACTCCTCTTGTTTTCAGATTGTGCACATTTCAATATGTTGGAAATTGGAACCTCAAAATCTTTGTTTTCCTGTTGAGACCAAGTGAAAAGGGGTACCCTCAACACACACACACACAGACACAGACACAGACACAGACACAACCACAACCACACCCCCAACGACACCCACACCCACACCCACACCCACTCACGCACGCACGCACACGTTGCCAGCTAGTCCTTTCACCATTGTCGAGGCTGTGTTCTCAGAAGATTCATAGCCACTTAAGTTTTGGTGTGAAATCCTAAAACATGGTTGGTAGGCGTAAATCTCTATGTGAATGATGTCCCATGTTTTAACGTGCTTCTGGGCAAACAGGCCAGACTTTGCAAAAGGGTTTTGTGACGCATAGTGAAGAGTCTTTGCATGGGGAACCTTATTTCACGTTCGTGAGCTCTTGCAACTTACCCAGATTCAAGGGCATGTTCAAGTATCTTGGAAGGTATGGAGGCTATATGCCCCTTACATAAGGGGTAGTATGTGCTGCCATTCTTGTTCTTGTGGTACATACAGTAAGTGTCCATCCCTCCAAAACCGACCTGGAAATGCCCTTGTCAGATGTTTTCTCCCAAATTTCTGCTGTTTTCTCCAAGATTTCAGCTCCAGGAGAAATTGTACAGGGAGTTCGCCAAGCTTTTTTCATTTGGTGGGCGTGTTTTTTGTTGTGTTTTTTCTATCAGCTGACTGCCCGAGCACCTTGGCCACTGCTTTCGGAGTTTCGAGTGAACTCGGGCTGCGAAATGGCGCTGGCCCGTGGTTGGCCTGTGGTTTCCCCTTGAAATCGCCTGGGGGCGTTTCAAGGAAATCCGTCTGGCTGGGTTCGGCCTGTTTCGGGGACCAACAATGGCTGAAGGGAAACCAAACAGAAAACCGCAAAGCCTGGTCTAGGTCCCCCACAAAGCCTTATCTAGATCTTCCAGTAGTGCCTGTGTACCCTTTTATGGAGGGTTCCCCTACTAAAATAGATTACAGACAAAAGGGAACCAACTTATTCTAACCTCTCTACTGGAGGACCTCGTCATCCTGAGCAGCGGGTCCACCCGGCAACAAGCTTTGGGATCCGTTCCTCAAGTTACGCCCCGGCTGCACGACCGAGGGAGTTGGCTCTCTGCTTTCAAAGGATTCGAAGCTGCCCATGAATAGATAGGCATGAGCCATGTTGGCTCACTTGCCCGAGTTCCTGAACTTTCAGCTTTTTGGAAAGACCATAATTTTAGTGGTAAACAAGCCTCTTTTCGGTGGCGTTTTTTGGCCACTCAACTCGGGAAGTGAGTTGGGGTATACCAGAAGAAGCCGAGCCTGTTGGGGTACATATATATATATATATTAACAATAAGAATCATAATAATAATATTCATAGTAATGATTGTATAAAGGAAAACAACATCGAGCCCATTTTACATTTCAAGTTTGCAGGCTGCGTGGCCTGCACCGATGTCACCGGCTTTGGGCTGATCGGGCACTTGTTGGAGATGTGCTCCACCTCGCAAGTGGAGGCGGCAACCGGTGCCCTGAGACTCCGTCTGCCAGGTTTTGGGTTGAGGCAAAAAACCAAAAGGAACCTCACTTGTTCAGTGGCACCCTTTTTCCCTTCTTTTTTGGTGCAAGCCCCAAATAGGGTCCCTCTCTTTTTTTTCCCAGGGTCACTGAACAACCAAAAGGAACCCGACAACTTGGGGAACCCGACAAGTCGCCAGCAACAGCCTTCTTGAAAAGCATTTTGGCTGATTCCCTTTGGGTTGACCACCACACCCCAAAACAGGAACTGGAGGAGATGGTGACCAATGTGGCTGCATGACTAGTTCCATTGCCCTTGAGACTACATACTGGAATTGGGGACGTCTCTATACCTTTGCCCTTACCTTCTGAATTGGGAGCATCCACTAACAATGTGTTTTGCTTGTATGAAACCAATAGGCGACCCTTGTCATCTTAAAACAAGAAGGAAAACACCCTTCAAACAAATACCGTTAAAAAAATGCGCTATGTGTCCCAGTTCGTATTTTGAGAAAGCCCGCCGCGAGCTCACCTCACAACCCGAGTTTCTGGACTTACTTTGTGGGTTTGGGCAATGGCAAAGAAGCGAATTCTTGGACTTTTGGCCAGCCCGTTGCGTTCTGGTCCGTTCTGTGGATTTTTGAAATCGAAATCCGGAAATCGCAGCGCGAAATGAAACGTCATGGATTCCACCATAACGTTTGCTGTGGGGGGCAGCATTCCGTATAGGTTTGCTGAACTTTGCGGTGCGATGCATTTGGAGTTTGATGTCAGCCATCAGTCGCTCCATGTGAAGTGAGTGCCTCCCACAGGTCTCCGTCAGCCTGCAGAAGGTCCCGGTCTACCCGGGTGCCGTGGAGTGCCTCCAGATGGGCATCGAGAGCTCTTTGCAGGCGGAGCGGACCCGAAAGCCGAAAGCCCACGGCTTTCGGTTTCGCAGGGTGTTTTTTGGCTTCGTCTTCTTTTTAAGGGGTGCTACTGTGGCTGGACAAAGTCCTGCACCACCTAAGAAGCCCTGGAATGATGATTCCCTGTACATACCGACAAACCATGGTTTCCATTGGATTCAAAGCAGTGCAAGAATTCGTCCACCCACAGTATTAATGGGCTTAGTCAGTGGGCTGCCTCCCCCCCCCCCTCTCCCTCGCCCCTAGCCCCCAAGTGAGGTTTGAATGGACATAGGACCCAACGAACCGGCGCTTGGATTCCTATGATGTTGGTTAACATGTTGGGTGAAAGGTGCAACCCATGTCGCTTGCATCATGTGTTTTACCTCAAGGACGTTGCGCCAATCTATTCACCCTGGTGCAAGTGTTCGAGCTTAAGTGATTCGTTGCCACCATGTTTATGTCTTTCCCGCAGCCCCAGAAATGATCCAACCACTCGAATCGTCCAGCTTGTTTTGCCCACCTGTGGCTGTATGGGTGTGTCGTGTTTTGAAGGTAGGCCACCATTTTGCGGGCTCCCTGAAAAATCGACTCGCCTATATTAGCCACCAGTTAGATTTGGACTTGGGGGCGGGTGACCCTGCAGTCCCATTAGTTTGTTCGTATTTCTTGAGACCATTGGAGCGTCAAATGCAAGGCTCGGACCTTCTTGCCTTCCAATCCACAAACCTGAAGCGAGTCTTCCCAGTATGAATTGGGGGACCCAACCGTCTCAACTTAAGATCAGGTGAAAAGTGTCTCCAAGTCAAGAACGACACGTGTGCAGCGCCCAGAAAGGAACAACACGTTAGCAGGTGGTCCTACTGCCTGGTTTTCGTGATTCATGTGGGTTACAGTACAGCCTTGATGAACCTCTATCTCCATGTTAGTAGAACCAACAGATGCATTGGTGAAACGGGTTCTCGCTGCTCACACGTGGCCGTGGGTCAAAACCCCGTACCCCCAGTGAACATCCCAATGCCTACCATTGGTGTTGACTCACGGCCATGTCGTCCTTGTTTCTCACTTTCCAAGGCCGCCAACGTGCGCCTGCGGCGCGCCGTGATCGCCACTGACCAGGTGGATGTTTTATCGATCAGAGGGGAAGTGGGGATGCTGAAGACAAACGAAGTGGGAAGTCCATTCATAGCTTCATGGCTCCCAGCCATCCCCTTAGCCTTTTAGCCTTTTAGTGTTTAGAGGTAGTGTCCATTTAACCCACTAAAAGTTAAACTTTTAGCGGGGCATCTGAGGGCAGCCCAACATTTGACTTGTTGCTTGTCACTTTGCAAACGTGTTTGTTTCACCGCAAACCATTTCCTACCAGGATCCAGGTATGATTAGGGGGGTCAGACTCATATTCCCTGAGAGGCAAGTAGAGGGACTCGATTGGGAAACTGCTAGGCACTCCCGGAGCAAGGGTTTGCAACACTTTCTACTGAACTGAGAGGGTTGTTCAGAAGCAATCCATAGTTCTTGTGACGCCAGATACCTCCTTCTCCTTGTGGCAGTTAGCATGCCACTACGGATTTGGATTGGGGATTCCCCTGCAACAGCCCAAGTTGTTTATGTCGCCCTGCATTGTTGTTCTGTATACTCGGAGGCAAAGATGAGTTTCAACCTGGTTGGAAGTGAGTGCTCACGTGAAGGGTACCCACAAAAAAGGATTATCCCTTCTCAAGTGATTTGGGGTGGTGATTCATTGCCTTTCCGCTTGGAAAGCGCAGATAGGAGCATCAGGAGCGGCGGTCAATAGCACGAGCAGCTGGCTTGGACACGGCACACGCACTATACACAACACAAATGTAATATATTAGTATATACACATATATATATATATACACATATTATCAATGTGGACATTCATTTGAACACTCCCTTATCCAGATCCCCTGAAGCGCCCAACAAGTTCCAATCTGCCGCCTTTGTTTTCAAGCCGTAGGTCGGGCTTGAATTTCATGCCTTTTCAACGTAGCTGCAGAAGGCATGCAAATGTTCGAGCAAGCTGTTCCTTGTTCACATGTCCCTCCCCAAGCCCTTGAAGCTGTTCACGCCAGGATGTCGCCTGGCCATTCTGTTTGGTGCAGTGTTTGAGGGCGCGCCCTGGGGCGGGGCTTTTGAAGCCTGAGAGAGCCTGCCCTTCCCATTTTGGAGACCTGCCATTTCGCAGGACGCCCCGCCAAAAAAACAACAACAACAACAACAAACACAGGCGATGTTCAGAAGGCTGGGCAAGTGGCCTCAAGGTGGTATATGAGTTGAGCCAACCTCGCCAGTGAAGTTCCTTTGCCTTGCTTTAGGTTTGCAAACTATAGTTTTTTTTCACGGCCGTTTTATCAAGCCTCGAAATTTGTCGCCCCCTGATCAACATGATTTTTGCTGAGTCGGCAGGGTCAAGAAGAAAGTCGCCTCCCCCAAGAAGCACAATTTGGCGAAACCTCCAATATGGTTCGTGGTTGCATGATCCCAATGTAAATATGGTCGGCCTAAAAATGTTTGGGGGGTCTCACATGTTGTCGGAAAGGAATAAACAAACTTCTGCGTGAAACATAGTAAAACACTGCCTCGTTGAAAACTCCGCTTGAACTCAGACGAGAACACAGGCTTAGACCAACCAATAGAGTGAATGTTGATTGGCGACCCTCTGGTGGACATCATGTCATTCATATACGCGAGGATTCACGTTCACCAACCACTTCAGAAGTGTTTCCCCATGAAAATCATAGCCATAAAATGTTGTTTGTGTCCAACAACTACAAGGAATGATCAAACCGGGGTAGAAGCCGGGTCCAAAGTTTCCTGCAGACGATCGTGTTGAGGGGAAGCAACCCGGTGACTGTACCATGAACCCCTTGGTACCAAGCCCTGGGAAGCGCTTTGAAGCCTGAATGAATGGGAACACACCCGTACCACAAGAAGCTGTTTTTGCCCACTACGGTGGATGGGCGAAATATTTCTCTGGAATGATGGCTCGCCTAAGACACCCGGAATGATGATTCCACTGAAAATACAAACAAACAAGGGTTTCAACCAAGGTTAAACGGTTTCAAGCTGGGGCGAAGAGATTTCGTCCACCCACAGCAGCGAACCATCCATGGCGGGAAATCCAGGCAGAGTGCTTTTCAGAACTGCACGTAGGTCCGCAGTTGCGGAGCTTCCGCTGAGCTCCACCTCTTTCGCCCATGCGTTTGCCTCGTCCGCATAGGGTGCTTTGCGTAGCCTTCGCGTAAAACTCTACCCAAATGATGCTTGAGGGCAAGCTTCTTGAGGAAGAAATCCACTTTTTCAATTGAGCAAGTGGGCATTGGATGGGAATCAACTCCCACAACCACCAAAACCACATGTATAACCCAAGGTTTCTGCACCGAAGACAGGCGAAACCGGACTTCACCGCTTTGAGGAAACCGCTCGACGGGCGCAGGTGCGGGCAGACCCGGCCTTCCCGCTGCTGTTTGACCCCCAGACATCCGGGGGCTTGCTCGCCTCCGTGCCGCAGAACCGCGCGGACGTTTGCGCGCCTCGGCGAAATAAGCTCTGCTTCAGGGATTTTAGGGGAACACTTTGTTTTTGTTTTTTTGTGGGGGGCCACAAAACGCAAGGTTCCCGAACAGAACCACAAATGCTAGGTCCCCCAACTAGGTGCCCTTCTCACCAACGTTTTTTTGGTTGGGAGGGTTCCGCTACAAAAATCGACTACAGAAACAAGAGGGTACCAACTCATTCTTACCTCTCTACTGGAGGACCTAGACAAAGAAGACATGACGAGGGGTTTGACGTTGCACAAGGGTTCCTTGAACCTGCTTCAATGGGCCCAACATCACAGGTGTCCTTCGAAGATTAGTTTGGTCGAAAATAGATGGCGCTGGGTTAGATGTGTTTTGTTCCAATTGCCAGGGCCATCTATTTGTCGAAAACGCCGCCTATGCCCAAAACAAATACCCGGAGCGTCCAAACGAAGCCCGTAAGAAGTGCCCGTAAGACTGTGTTGCTTTCGGACCTTTTGTCAGTTTCAGTGGGCCTCCCTGAGTTCTGTGCGGGCAGGTGAGTGAGTCATGTTTTTGGGTTGGTACCCCCTTGCTTGGCGAGGTTTAAAGGGAAACCAAGCGGAGAAACCACGAGGGTGTCGTTCCCTCCAGTGAGATCCGCTTGAACTTTGAAGCTTGGCATCTTGGCTCGATCCCTTGGTGACATCATCCAAGCTGGGTTGGAGGTTTGAGGCCGTCGCGCCCAAGGTGGTTTGACCTGGGGTTAAACCAGAGCTGGTTCTCAAAATGGGCCTTTTTTTTTGGGGGGGGGGAACCCCAAAAGGGCTTCTGTGGCAGTTGAAAACCACCAAAGGGGTACCAACTCAAAACCAAAAGATAGACCCAGACAGGGGAACCCCACAACAGTTCAACTTCATGCTTCCTTTGTGGTCCTTTTGAACCACCCGCCGAAAGGGCAACCTCAAAAGAGACCAAAAGGGTGTGGACTATTTTTTGAGGGAAGCCTGGCAGAGTTCCGCTTCAGGGAGTCCAGGGGGAAAACATTGGGGGAGGTTCCCCTACTAAAATAGCCTACAGGGAAAAAAAGAAAAAGAAAAAAAACTCGGGTACCACCTTGTTCTAACCTCCAAAACTGGAGGACCTAGAACAATTAGAGGTAATCAAAATCCGGGTCTTCGGATGAGCATGCACACCCCTGTCATCCTTTGCTTCCAACACCCCGGCCCCGGAGCCCCGGACGGAGGTTGACCAGCTGCGGCTCTTAGGCATGGACGCGGCGGTGATTGGCTCGGCCACTCGTAGGGATTTGGGTTTGGGCGTGAAGCTTGGCCGGGTCCATGGCCGAGTTCAAATTTATCTCACTCCCGTTCGAGTTCCTGGGCTGTTTCAGCTTTTTGGGTGGGAAATAATGGCCACTCAGGAAAAAAACGTATTTCAGGTTGATTTTTCCTAGATAGCCAACCAGCAACCCCCCAACTTTTCTGCTTGTGTCCAAAATCCCAGGTACTGTCCAACAGTCACTGGTTGGGACCTGGGTGCTGGTAGACACCCAAGTTGTGTTTGCTTTGTTCCGGACACTGTACCTAAAAGTCAGTGGCAGTTGCTGGGGAAAAAAAGGTGGCAACGGGCATGTCCACCGACCACTTTGAGGTGGGTGCAGCTCGTTTATTTACTTATTTAGTTAGTTAGTTAGTTAGTTATTTGTTTATTTATTTATTTATTTGTTTATTTATTATTTTTTAAACAATTTACAGCCACTTGAGACCTGGGAGTTTCTCAAAATAGACCGCCTTCTTGGTTGGTTGGTTGGTGTTAACCAACCCTCTTCATCTCGGTCTTTTTGGGACACCACCACACAAAATACCCATGTCTCCATTTGTGTGGCGGGCTGACGTGCAAAACGAGCTCACGAGTGTGCTTTGCTTGGTATCTCTTTATTTGTGCCATGCTCAAAAGCCTCAAAACAAAGGCTCATACAGGCTTCCCCAAAAGGTTCCCCCCACAAGGTGTGCTTTAGCGTCATCCTTTTTGTGGCCAATTGAGAGCGAGCTTCATTTGAAGGGCCCTGTAATGGCCCTGTAATAGCGTGGATCGACAAAATGCTGCACTACCCAAGAGACCCTGGAATACCGTTTCCCCTTTAAATACCCACAAAGTGATGGTGTCCCATGGCTTCAAAGTGGTGCAAAGTGGTGCAACGGATTTCGCAACCCACAGTATGTGCCTTTGTCAAACCGCAACTTGGGGTTGGTGTGGCCAACCAACCAATGTAAAAGCTCCCATTTGGTCGCTGTCCAATTGCAATCTATCTGCTAGTTGGGAGAGTCTTCTTTTGAGGGCACCGTTTGTTGGCTGGTTTTTAGCGGGAAACTAAAGCTCCTGCACTTTAAACTTCTGATTTCGGAAGACAGTTTTAGTGGTGAATAGAGGGTTTGGACTTGCTGTTGACCAATACCCCCAGGAAGTGAGAAAGGGAAAACCCACTACTTGGGTCCAACCTTAAAACAGACACACCCACTTCGGGCCAGCTCTCCGGTGGTGTTGTCCGATTCGATGGCGATTGGTGGAGCTTGCGACAAGGAGTATTTCGGGTGTCGGGAATGAAGCGGGAGGGGAAGTTTTTGTTGAAACAAACCATAGGGGTCATTCGGTCATTCCATTTCTCATTCCCCTATCGAACCAGCAAGATAATTCCCGGATCGACGGTTGGGACTGTCGGCTCACTCCCTGAGTCGGTCGTTAGATGTTGGCCCAACGTTTGCAAGCCGGCCCGAGTGAAGCACCTCGCATCTCCGGGAGCTGGTCAGGACTTGAAATGTTCCCCTCCAAAAGTGAGAATCTCCACTACCCAGGACACCCCCACATGAATAAGCAGGGGTTTAGTAGTTTGGGCTCAACATTAGTGACAGACCAAAAGTTTGGTCGGCCCCACTCCCTCGGAAGTGAGCTAAGGAGACACATATGTGGAATCCCAAATGAGCCATAATCAAAACCGATTCGGGTAGATGAAGGTTAGTAAGGGGCAGTCCCGGCCGGAAATAGTTGCGGCCGCCTTTCTAATTCTTTACATGGTTCTGGGTTCACCATTTTTGTAACAGGTTTTGATTGTGACTCAAATGGGCATCCGAAACCAATACGCCGATCTCACGGATAGGTGAAACAAAGTTTCCCATGAATGTCTCTGTCGGTTCCCTTTGTGGGTTAGGGAGTTACGGTAATTGTCCCTGTTGATATTGTCGGTTGTGTAAGCCTATGTCGTGTCAACACCTCGTGGTGTCTTCCTGTGTATTCCCGTTGTTGCATGGTGTCTATATATGTGCTTGTGTGGTCTCATGCTGGTTTTCTGTGTGTTTCCGTATGGCCTCATGTTGGAGTGCATTGATTTTCCTTAAGTTCAGTCATGACTCACCCCAGTCGTTCGGGCTGGTCATTCATTTCTGGGTTTCTGGGCCAGCAGCTTAAGATTTGAGCTTCCAGCTGATCTCGGGATGCCCTAGAGCGCTGCTTTCTCCTTTTAGCGACAAACGACTTTGTGTTCCCGTTGTGTGTATATACCCTCCTTTCCACTAACATAGCAACTGAGAGGGGGTCCCTTCAAAAGGACATTTGTCTTCCAGGTACTTCCCCACAGGTGCTATGTTAGTTGGAGGAAGGGTATACATATATATATATATATATATATGTGAGAGAGAGTGCGGTGTGTGTGTGTGTGTACGTTTTTGTTTGAGTCTAAAGAGAAACGAAAGCGAAAGCCACCAATTTGGTGGTCCCGCATGGTTTATCGTTGCAAAAGGCGAATCAAGCCGCCATACTCGTATGGCATCATTGGGGGGAAACCAGCCACGTTTCGGGCCCACCGAGACATTTGCGGCAGCGGCAGTCCTTCTCAGTTATGATTTGTGAGATCGGTCCAGCAGCTTCTCCTTCGCTCATCCTCAAATCCGTCGTGGGTTCCTTTGGGTTAAGCGGGCGTGGAGTTTTGGCGTTGTGTGGTTTCGCGAGCGAAGCAGCTGGTGAGTTTGACGCCACACGTTCGGGACTCTCAGGTGACCGCAGCTTGCACCGGTGTCCAGCTGATCACAGTCACCGAATGAGGGCGCCGGGGCGTCAGGCAGTTGCCAGATGACCTGAAGCACAGCTTGCCCACGCGAACGCACAAAAAATAGCAGGACCTCAGCTTATAGGGTCTTTTTTTCTTGAGCCCACAGTTTCTGGGGCCTCTTTTGACATCACTTTGCAAATTAAGGTTTGCCACATATGGGCCACAAGCTAAAACGTCATGCTTAGTTGGGAGGCAAAGCTAAGGCTTGCGGCATCGCTCACCCTGTGAAGCCTTTGAAACCCTTTAAGCCTTCAATTTCCACGTCCAGTACAACCCCTGTATCGGCCCTATGTGGCAGGCCTCGACCTCCAATTTGATTTTCAAGGAAGCGGGGAAGGCATCAAACATGGTCGTTGTTGGGAAACATTTTACATGTTTGCTTATTGTGGTTTAGTGGGAATCCCCACTTAACAGCTAAAAAAAATGCTCCCCTTCCAATGTCAACCAAGCAAAGGTTACCTCAACCAGGGGTCGACGGTCCGACCTTTCCAAGGAGCCCCAAGCATCACTTTCCCAAGCGGGCCGTGGTGCTTTTGAGGTTGGACCCCTCCAAAATGGCTTCGGTTTCCTGTGCTTTGAGTACCACAAAAACACGGGGGTACCCTTTAAAAAACAAGGACGGAGCCACAGGAGTCTGTAAGCAATTTGGGATCTGCCCGAGTCCCAAGTCACATCCAGGCCTTTGGCTCGCGTTGCTTTTTTCCGCTTACTATTTGACACTGATTCGCTTGACCCGACGGCGATGTCGGCAGGCAAGTCGGGGTTGCAAACAGAGAATGGAAGAACGTAGGCGGCCAATCCACCGAGTCAAGCCCTTGGAACAAGACTAAGGCTGATGCCAGTCCCAAGTCACACTTTCTGGTGGTGTCTCATGCCAAACAAATTCACTCACTGGCACATGCTGGCGGCTCACTTGCCATTGCGCGGGGAAGGCGACACGGACTCGATTTGGTGGAGAAAAGACCTGCGCATCAGAACGCGCGTGGTTTAAATTATGAAAAACCGGAAAGGATCAATAAGGAGGCCTTTCGAAAAGTGTCATCAACCTTTCGCCTGAAAGCAATGCTGCAAGTGTTGAGATCGCATGGCCACTGTTGCATGTTGCATGGTGGCTGGAGTGCAATGGAGCAAGTTGACTGTCAAAACACATCCAGGCCGTATGAGTTTTGTTTATTCTGTGGCACGCGTTTCGTCTCACTGGTCCCCTGGAGTGAGGAGAAGTTGTATGCATAGCAACGGAGCCAGCAGTGCTTTGGGGGTCAGGTTGTGGTTTCAACTAGCTGCAAGATAGATTGGCTGGGAAGGGCTTCCATTTGCGGAAGGTCTTTGATTTTCGTGTGCCTGTTGTTGAGTAGCTTATCCGGCTTGGTGTCACGTAAAAAGTTGGGCTTTGGGCTGTCGGTTTTTGGTTTTGGTTTCCCCCCACTTGTGCCCATCCCCCCCCCCCACCCGCCCACCCCGCCCACCCCGCCTACCCCCCACCCCCCACCCCCCCCCCCCCCCGCGCACCAGCCCCTGGACTTTGCCTTGAAGACCTACGCCTTCGGCTTGATCCCGAGGACGAAAAAGCGACAACAGCTGATGCGATCGATCCGATCGGGGGATGCCTGAACACCAACGACTCCAAATGAATGCCTTTTTTAAAGGGTATCATTTCAACCCTTTACTAAAAAGGGCGCTGTTTTTGCTTTTTCGATGGGAACCCCGGGTTTTCCCAACAAATCAAATCGGCCAAAGCGGGCATTTGCAGGGGAAGAGAGATGCATTCCAGTGACATGGCACCAGATACTCTCATTTTTCCACTTTCCGACGAGCATGGTGGGTCCATAACCCGTGGGTTATGGACCCCTCACCTCACCCCTCCCATCGAGAGGCTCGGATTCGAAGTCCCGTTCGGCCCAGTGGCGCCCGAGATGAAGCTGCAAAAGGTGCTAACATCACCTGGCGCCTGAGGTGAACTTCTGTGTAATACCTACCCTTTTTGCTTTTCAGGAGAGAGAATAGTTTTGAGATGTTTTTTGTTTTGTTTTTTTTCCACTCCCCTTTTATAAATCGCTATCTAGCATTATGATTTTTTTTCTGGGAAAAGAATGGTCACGGGCTCAGAAGAACGTGAAATACATGACCTCGTTTTTTCAGCGGCTATATCGTGGTTGTATGTATATATAGCTGACAGCTTTTCCTCTTGGTAGTGGTTTGGTTTTCGAGAGCCCTTAACGGTCGCCGCAAAGGCTTTGGATTTCAGGCAGAAGCAAACCAGCCCAAAACAGCCCGATAAACCAAATGTGCTGAGAGATGTGCGCACACCTTTTTCTCCAAACTGCCCGAAACTGCCCGAGAACGCCCCCGTTTGCGCGATCCCCCGGTAAGGGCCGCCAAGTGGTTGAGTTGGACTTTCTAGGTCGAATATCCGCGGACATCCTGAGCTGGACTTCCTTTTTAGGCAATCCGCTTGAGTAATTAAACAAGTTCCGTCGGCCAATCCATTCAGGAAGTATCAGGGCGTGTTTCTTGTTGCGTATTTTTTGAGGTCATCTATCACATGCTTCAGGCTAAACCACGCAGCCAGTGATCTCATTGGTGTGTCCTTCGGTCTTTGTCCAGTGTCTGGTTTGCGCAAGAGTTCGGTTGACGTGGGTGCTGACTTCTGGGCACACTTACCATGTGAAGGGCTGGGAAGTCAGCTACATGGCTAGTAGGGAACCTCAAAGGTGGAAATGAATCCGTTTGATAAAATCTGATGTCCCTTATAAACTAGAGCAGCTAAAAAGCATCCCGACGCCTCACTCTTATTTCTTAGACCACATCCGTGTCCAGGACAGGGCCCCGGAGTCTGTCGCTAGAGGCGTGGGCTCGTTTTGTGTTGGGTTTGGGATGGGGTCACCTCAAGGCACAGCTGTGCGTACTTGCCCGTCTGTTATGATTACACATGGCTCAGTTGCCCAAAGCCGACCGTTTAACCTTTTGGTTTTCCAATTTTGGTCTATCTTTAGTAAATCAAAAGGTTAACCTTTTAGTTCCAGGTCCTTTGGGCAACTGAGATGGGCTATATGGCTTTTATGTATGCTTGACACAGCGGTCAATCGACATGCTTGTGGGGGAGGGGGGGGTGGCAAGAAATCTCCAGTGAATCCGACTTTAAGAAGGCCTTGCAGAAGACCGAAGAAGGGTGAACTTTTCTGGCCAACATCAGAAGGTCAGCTTTAATTTTTGCAGTTGAACCTGTTGCAGATGGTCCTCTCTCCTTTGCTCAGGCTTGCTTAGAGGCAGACCTTCACATGCCTTCCCCGGGTTTATTTGGGATCTAAATGTACGGTCATCCCTTGTGTTTGTTTTGTTTTGGGGGGGAAGGTCGTAAGAATCCGGAGTGCCTCCCTAGGAAGGAGCGGAACTCTCTTTCAGGGGGTTCCTCGTTAGGGTCCAACAAGACCATGTTGGGTATTTGTTTTGTGTGGATGTGTTGAATTTCTCGAAATCGAGGTGCCGTGGCAAATGTTTGGCGTCTCTAGGCGAGTCACAATCCAAACCCTTGTAGTTGGAGGGTAAGGGAGAATCCCAGCTATCCGCCTTGTCAATTCTTTACAAGGTTCCGGGTAGACCAGTTGAATTATGACTCTCATGGATGTCCAACGGTTTCCATGTTAGGGTCTTGAAAGGCCGAGAAGCCAACACGGCAAGCATTTTGGCTAAGTCCCCCAGTAGTGCCCTTTTACCCTTTTTGGGGGGGAGGGTTCCCCTACTAAAATATATAGCCTACAGAAAAAACTCGGGTACCAACTTATTCTAACCTCTCTACTGGAGGACCTAGTTGGAGAATGTTTGGCCCCCTGGGCTTGCTTCATTTGTCCCCAAGCTGTTCCGAAAGCTCTGGGGTCCCGAGTTGTTTTTGTTTTTCTTCGGTGGGGTCCGGAGGGGTCAACAGCGGGGCTGGGGCCTTGGCTTTTTTTGTGCCCGTTAATTCTTTAATAACGTGTGTATATTATATATATATATATGATGGTGGTCTGGCTTGGAGGGTAAAGGTGAACCTCTCGCTCTAAACCACAAAGCCAAATGCCTTGCTCGTTGCCCCTTGGTGTTTTTGGTTTCTGTTTTTGTTCAAACAAGTGTTTCTGTATGCAGGCACCCCTCAGTTGGTTTGGAAACTCGCGGTTTGGGAGTTGAACCACCTCACAGCCTCAGAGTTGCAGAGGGCCAGTGAAAGGCAGCGGATTCGTCCGGCCCCAGGTAGCATCCATTTACCCAGGTACCCATTTCCCCCCCCACATCCCCCCTTAAGACTTACCTCTTAAGAACACAAAACATTTCTCAACTTTTTGAGGGTAACATGGGCTATATGTCTGTAGATTAACTTCAGGGCTTGGAGTTTTAAGGGGTAAGTATTTGGGTCCTTAGGTTTTCTCTGGTTGTTTGTTGGTTTAGTGGTTGGGGTTCCATATGTTGAGCTTCGGAGGATCTGAGGACGGCCTAAGCTACGGTGGTAAATCATGACAACACCCACTGGGTCTGCCCAAGGGCAGGGCTCCCTCACCTACCCATTGATTACCCACCCCAAGAAATCGGATCCAGGTATCACCACTTCTAGATGCCCCTTGGGACTTCGATTCGTCAAGTTCGCAAGTGGTTAGAAACCTTGGTCGGGCCCAGTTTCCCAAAAGAGAATCTTGTGGCATCGAACTCCTTGGATCTTCGATTCGCCACGTCAAGTGTCAACGCCGCCTTGGATATAACCCACTGACTGGGGTAATTACCCCCACGGAGGCCAAGTGGGTCATGACCTGCGACGACTTACGAACTTGGGCGAATCGAACAAGTAGGGGCACTCCGAGAGTTCGGGGATAGATGGTGTTTCTTGGGGTGGGCAAGGGGTACTAAAGGAGCTCTGGTCTTTGGTGCACTCAGTTGGCTTTGTAGTCCAGTTGTGGGAATGAGGGGTGCTCTCTCAACACGGCTCTAGAGGTTGATTCGTCATTCTCTTCACCGATGGTTCTCTTTCCAAACCAGCCATTGTTCAGGGGGTTGGCCATTTTTTTGAAGAGAAGGATCCGTGAAGAGA